GGAAGAGTGATGGCTCTATCTATGGGTTAGGCACTCTTAAGGTTCACTATATGTGGTTTTAAGGGTCAAAGTCTAAAGGTCCTCAAATTGTTCCTTACATCCTTGTCCATCACAGACTAGTAAGGCACCCTAATCTTCACCTATTACAGGCTACAAGCGAAAAATGTTCAATTTGAGTGGGAGTATTTCGCTAGCCACTACGGAGGCATTAGACCTCACGAAAGCAATAGAAACTTTACTCCCTCCTAGAAGGACGGAGCTCGGGTATAGAGCTCATGTTATGCACATGCACATGAATGACATAATCAATAAAGTAAATAAACGTGAATGAACAATAATACATATATACAAAAAGGTTCAATTTTATTAGGCTTTTAGATAACACAAATTATTTGATGGCCTGACTCTCAAATTCTTCAGTGGAGTCGCCAAGCTGTTATAACGTCTAAATCCGAGGATCTATCGTTAGACATTGACTTTAGGGAGTCGCCACCAATCTTTTTTATTTAGGTGCGATTGGCCACCTTAAGAATCTGTCATTTTAGGGAACACTTAAGCTTAAGGGTCCCTAAAAGAATAGGTTCGGGTCTGCTAACCAGAACAGGGTTCGGGAGTTCGGTTACGTATGAGAAAGGTTATAGCACCCTCACAACGCCCATCAAAAGATGGTAGCAGCATAATTTTGTGTTATCCAATAAGCCTTAAAATTTTATCAAGTAATTAATTATTGAAAATTATTCTCAATTGACTCTAATACTTTTAGCAGAAAATTGAGAAAATTCTCTCACCTTAAGAGTATGCAAGAAAAACTACTGTTTCACTTGCATAGGTTCCGTCGTCGGATTAATTAAGAAAAAATCAAAATCAAAATCAAAATAGAAAGGAAGGAAATGATATTTGTTCTTGTGTAGGAAAAATTGATACTTTCAACTTTTTTCCAAAAATTATTTTTTTGAAATTTATTTTTTAAGGAAAATTGATACTTTCAACTTTTCCCCAAAAATATTTTTTTGAAATTTATTTCTAAGGAAAATTGATACTTTCAACTTTTCCCCAAAAATATTTTTTTGAAATTTATTTCTAAGGAGAATTGATACTTTCAACTTTTCCTCAAAGATATTTTTTTTTGAAACTTTGATTTCCAAGAAAAATTGATACTTTCAACTTTTCCTTAAAAATATATTTTTTTATTTTTATTTAAAGAATATAAAACAAAATAAAAGTAAAAGTAAATAAAGAAGAAAATAAAATAAAGAAAAGTGAAACAAAAATAAAAATAAGATAAAGATAAAAAATATTAAATAAATCTAATCTAATAAATAAAAAATAGAAAAAAAAATAAACAAATAAATGAAAATTCAAAAAAAATTCAAAAAAAAAAAAACTTGGAGCGGCTCGGATAGCGGCTCGGCTCTGCTCAAGGAAGAGAAAACGGCTCGAAGGGCTGCTTGGGAAGCTCGGCTCGGCTCGGCTTGGCTTGGAGGGGGGCAGGCACGCGCGGGTTGATGCTCCGGTTGGGTCGGGTTTCGGCAAAACGCGCGTATCGTCTGATTACTTAAGGCTAAAACGACGTCGTTTTGAGAAAGTATAAAAGGCACTTCCCTTTGTTTTTCGGCAGAACGCTCTTTCCCTCTCTCTCTCTTCTTTCTTTTTCCTCTCCCCTCTCTCTAAAGGGCCTGAAGAACACCGGTCGAATTTTTGCCGGATTCTGGAAAAAGTCACCGGAATCTGAAAAATTCACCGGAGGTTCATCGAAAGTTTGCTGGAAGATCACCGGTTTCTGGGATTGTTCGCTGGGAACTGGGTAGGTCACCAAAAACATCAAGGTTCGTCGGAATTGTTGCCGAAAAATTCAAATGTTACCGAAATTTTCGCCAGAATCTGGAAATTTCTCAGAAATTTCCAGAAAAATTTTTCGCCAAAAATTTCTAAAAAATTATTTTCGATCCCTACAGCTATCCTAACTCTTCTCAACCTTCTTTAGCCTTCAAAAACTCTTCTATACACCTCTTTTCTCTCATATTTAGTAGCTTTGCTCACTGTTTTCTCTGTGTCCAGCATCTGTTCTAAGAGGTCCCTTTTATAGGGATTGATCAAGAGTTCCTGATCAATCGCAATTCCTCCTTGGACGGGGATTCAATCTTTGAGTCCAATTGGACTCTTTTGATTGAATCCTCATTCCCAGTAGGATTCTTCACCCTTCAATCTCAGCCCTCCAAAAATAAAATAAAAAAAACTAGATAATTAGAAAAGAAAAATAAAAAATCATTATAGGATAAATAAAAAAAATAATATCAGATATATAATTAGATAAATAAAAATACAAAAATAAATAAAATAAAAGATAAAAAATAATAAATATATATAAATATATATTAGTAATAATACATAAATAATAAAATACATAGGATATACATAAAATATAAAATAAAATAAAAATAAAAATAAAAATGACAAAGATAAAATTGAACCTACCCATTTGGACCAAGCTCAATTGATCCGGGCCTCGATCAAATTGGGTGTCTACACCTACCTATTTGGGCTAGGCCCAATTGATCCGGGCCTGGACCAATTTGGGTGTCTACATTTACCATTTGAAATTTTTAAGAATCTCATGATTAGATAATTATCAAATATTTTCAACCAAATTTGGAAAAAAATACAATTACTTTTATTAAATTTCATCTAAAATATTTCAATATTTGGGATAAATTTAGAGAAAATTTCTCACCTATAGATTTCTTAAAAATTTATCATTTAAAATTTTTAAGAATTTTATCATTGGGTAATTTGTACTTAATTTTAAAATTTTTATCAATATTTTTTATTTTTTTATTTTGAAAATAAATATTAATTATTATTATTAAAACTTTATCTAAATTATTTCACCATTTGGGATAAATTTAAACAAAATTTTTTACTTAAGAATTTTATAAAAATTTATCATTTGAAATTTTTATAAATTTCATCATTGGATAATTAATATCTATTTCTAAAATTTTATTTTTTACTTTTTATTATTTTTTAAAAAATTTAATCATGCAAAAAATGCTAAAAAAAAACACATAAAATAAATATAAAAAAATAAAAAAAATCAAAGAACGACTCAGCTTGACTGAAATTCGGCTCGGCTTAAGGCACAAAAAGCAGCTCGTAAAAGCGATTTAAAAACGCGGCTCGACTCATCTCGGTTGAAGGGTTGGCTGGAACGTGGGTCGACCAAAACGGGTTGCACTCAGGTTTGGTTATCCGAATGAAAAATGCACGGATCCTAGGTGTTTTTAACTCCAAAACGACGTTGTTTTGCGCATGTATAAAAGGCTAAAATTCGATCTTTTCTTCAGATTTCCCTTATTTCCTCTCTCTCTTCCCTTTTCTTTTCTCTCCCCTTCTTTCTATAAACCTAGAATCCGGTTGAATATTCAATCAAAAACTAGGAAAAATACACCAAAAAATTCATCGAAATCTGAAATTTTTTTAGAAATTTTTCAGAAAAAAAAATGTCAAAAAATTTAAAAAAATTCTTAAAAATCCTAAAATTGCTTCTGACACATTCTAAAAATTTTTCTAAATTCTACCTTCTATTTTTTGCTCTCTGTTTTGTGCGTCTTCATTTATTTTGTGTCTTGGCCTATATTTATAGGCATTGATAAGAAGAGTTTATGATCAATACCAATTTTTTTTGTAATTAGGATTCAATCTTTGAGTCTAATTTCAAGTTTACCAACCACAGATTCACGGCAAAAAATTTTTCTTCTAGAACAAAAATTATATTGAAAAAAATAATAATTAAAATAAAATTATGAACAAATGAAAATAAAATAGAAAAATAAAAATAAAAATGAGCCAATCTTGCCCCATTTAGATCAGGTCCAATTGGTCTGAGCCTGGATTAAATTGGATGTCTACATAATATATGAAAAAAAAAAAACCAATTAAAGAAATATTACCTAATTAAGTGAATAGTCAAAAGAAAGGGAAAAAAAGTCTATAGACAATACTTATAAAATATAAGAATATATATGTTTATGTAATTTTATACCTTGTAATATATATATATATATATATATATATATAATCCAAATTAAAGACTGTGGGCTTATCATAAGTATCTTTTTTCTATGAGGTATCTTTTATAAGATAAAATCATGAGATCAAAATGGTCAGAGTAAATAATACCTCACAATAATATAAACTGTAACATGTAAGTTGATCTAAGACATCAGATTAATGAATATTCAAATCCCAAAATCATACAAATTCGAAGTTTAAGTCTCAACTTGTAATACCAGTTCAGGGCATGCAACATCACATGTGAATCGTACACGTCTCCCTAGGCCCAATGGCTCGCAGCTGTCGACATTTGTCGATGTCCATTTTTCAGTATGTCCTTTCGTCCGTCTGTTCATGGAGAACCCTCGATCACCAATTCAGGGGTGGAACACACGACTTGAATCGTGAATTTCCTTTAGCAAGTAGCAACTATCGATTGACTAGTATTAGTACAATCAATGTCAATATATTATCACAAGTACATGAAGGTAAAAATTTACATAGCGATGATGATGATGATGCATTTTTTGTTGTTTAATCAAGTAGTGTAGTATAATATTATGTATCTATAGCTCACATTCACATGATTCAGGATGATGCGTGTAACCTGCGGAATTCTGGAGGGGATAATTAATGACATTAATTACGCTTTAATTTTGGGACCTCAAGCGTATATTGTCATTCTCTCTCATTACTAAACAACATAATAATTCCACCTTTTTTATTTTTCAATTTGTGTGCATCTTGAAAAAAGTTTTGACTCTTATAGTTTAATTTTTTTATAATATTATGTATCGCACTTTCTATTTTAAAAAATTAAAAAAATTTTAAATATAGTAAAATAATAATAATAATAATAATAAAAGTACGTCGGTTCGTCTAAGCTTTGAAACGCGAACTACACTTCATCTGCGTCGGGCAAAGGGTTCAGTGTGATTGGCTAAATCAGAGATGTAATGAGCTAGGTCGGACAAAATTAATTTACGAGTGGGCTTAGATAAGCCGCTTTTATTCTCCAGTTGGGAATACATGCTGGGCTTTCTTGACTTTTTGGTAATTGCCTTAAGTGTTAGTAATATTTCCTACTGCCTCCCACAGTTTTGGGCTTTACATACATTAAGAGCATCCTCACCATATGGAGCTCTCGCATAAGCTCGTAAGAGTGACGCATAGGTTGCCCGATTTGGTGAAAATCCATTGGTTATCATCTCTTTGTAAATAGTCTTGGCCTGCCAAGGCCTCTTGGCTCTCCCCATGGCATCCAACAAAGTATTATATATAATTACATTAGGTTTAGCACCTAAGGCCTTCATTTCCCCGTAAACATTTAAACAGCCATCATAATTTCCAGATATCCAATATATTTTAATCAAAGTTGAAAAGGTAACAGGATCAATACGCCATTTTTCTGTTCGAGCACGGTCATACAGGGTGAAGGCCATATCAACATTTGCAGCCCGGCCATAGGCATCCATCATGGCAGAGTAAGTGACGTCATGCGGATCACACCCATATGTAGGCATTTTCTCAAACCACTCAACAGCCTTACCGGGCAAAGCACAGACCCTAGCACAACTAATCAACGTTGAAAAGGTAACGTTGTCGGGCTTAACCCCTCTTTGAAGCATTTCATCAAACAGTTTCTCAGCTCCATTCATATCCTTAGACTTTCTAAAAACCTTGATGGTGACATTATAAAGAATGACCTCTCGACTTGGTTTCCTTAGTGTCCTTTGAATATGATTAAGAGCAAGCAATGCGGTATGAGGGTTTGACATGTTATTGAGAACAACAACAGCATCTCGTTCCGAAACATCGTAACGTAAACTAGTCAAAACAGTTAAAACATCTTGTTCATTTGGATTGCAAGAATCCAAAGACTCAGCTACTTGGAGCAGAGAAGAGTACCTGGAATCATAAGACAATTGCCTGAGGCATGAAGCTCTGGGGCTTCTGGGATTGACCCACGCATGGGTATTGGTTTTGCCATCTGGGTACTGCGAAAAGGAGAGTTTTGGAGGCTTTTCGGTTTCTTTGGTCAAGGGGTCTTTCAAGGAGACATGAGTTACTTGGATAGAGGTTTTAGATAGTGAGGAGAAGGAAAGCAGCTTTAGAGAAGGAGCGGAACTTCTTATAGGTCTTGGTTTGGGTGAAGCAGAGAGAGAGTGAAGGTCACAGGCAAGAGAAGAAGTTGAGGAGCATAGATGATGACACGCCATTTTTCTATCTATTTGTTTAAGCTTTGGCCTTTGGCTAACTTATACACTCAAAGCTCGAGACAGTAGAAGAGAAGCGTAGATGCAGATTGCATGGAGAGAAAGGAATGGCCTGTTGTTTTTCCTTATCAAAAAGCCATGGATAGATAGTTTATCTAATTTGACCATTTTAACCTTGTAGATTCCACGTTGCGATTCGCTTTCTTATTGTTTCCATCAAAATATCTACTTTTGTTCGACTTGACCTTTACCAAAAGAAAAAAGAAATTGTACATAAAAAAAGCAGTGCATCATAATTCATTGTTTTTGCAATTCTTTCGTTATGTCTCGAGTGGATGAGGTGTGAAAAGACAACTTTTCTCATATATAAATATAGATATACAAAATTTAAGATGATACGTGAAAGTAAACACAATGATTATAATTTGAGATTTTCAATTTAATTGGTTGCGATTAAGTCAAATCTTATTTAAATAAGAAATACAAAATTATAAGACGGCCCGGAAAGTGTTACCCCATAAATAAATAAATAAAATAAACCAAAAAGCAGGTGTATTTATAATAAGATAAGAGATTCACTGGGCTACAAACTTTTTGTTAGGCCGCCCTTCGAGGCCATTGTCTTATGATCTGCTAAACCCTATAACTTATTAAATCTTTCTATCAACCAACAGCTATTTGACGAATTGAAAGTAACTTGGCAACTCGATTGGGAATTATCCCCCACTTGGAGATAACTTTTATCATATATTATGTTATTGATTAGTCTAAGTGTGAACAAGGTATTGATACCCTCATAAGACACATCCTAAGACAATACAAATTAATTTAATATTATCTTAAAAGGGTCTTATGTAAATGGTTTTTTTATTCTTAATTAAATTTCATTATTTAAAATATTGAAAGGTTTTTAGAACTTTTCAAATATTTTGATAGAATTTTAAGAAAATTTATCCATTTTAAAATTACTAAAAAGACTCATTTATTTTCTTGAAGAAAAACTACCATCAGATTAATTTAAGACTTTATAGAAAGAGTTTAGTTTTATTTTACCAACCTTTATTTTTACAAAATATTTTATTAAAAATAAATAAAATATTTTTTTATTGAAATACTCCTAAAATCTTTCAAACACTTTTGGTAAAGATTCTAAGAAAAATCATCACCTAAAAAATTTCAAACACCACTTGCAATTTTCTTTTAAATTCATCATTGGAAAGTTTTTTATTTATTTTCATTTTTTAATTTTACACGTTACAAATAAATAAAAATAATTATAAAAAAATTACAAATTTATTTGTCTATCACATATTTTTAGTTTTTTATGTTGTCAAATGATTAAAACATATTCTTAATATAAAATTTTAAATATGTATGTAAATAAAAAATGGACAAATACATAAGCAAATCAGTAAAACAAAAATTAAATTAAAACAATAATATAATATAATATAATATAATATAAATAAATAAAAAGAAAAGTAACAAAATAAAAAACAAAAAAAAAAAATGATTACAATATGCCCAAAACAATATATATATATATATATATCAAAAGTTCTTTCTTCAAATCATTCCAACCAATTTAATTTATACCTTAATTAATCTTTTAATCATTTTTCATGTTTTACTTAAATGTCGTCTTTGAAATGGAGGAATCTCACTTTTGAAGTAACTTTAATGTTATAGATGCGAAGCTAGTAGCAACTTGAAGCTATTGGTTACCGACGACGGCAATGGCATCTTTCATTAATATTTATTTGATGGAACCTATGATTAATGATTCCATCAATATTCGACTTCTTAAAACCTTATATATATTGTGGTATTTTATTCTCTATCACTTCATCCACTTTCTCCATTAATAATTTCATGTCTTGTTGCTAAATCACACTACATTACTTAATTTCTTTAATTTCTAGTGCCATTTAATTAAGTTGATGCATAGAAATTTGCCTTCCCTTCTGTTTCAATCATCATCCACCAGTGACCAGTCTTAGGGCTTTGCATTTCTTTAATCCGGGACCGACAACGATCACGCTTCTTCTTTCTTTTTTTTTTAATTATAATATATATTGCTTAATATGAAAAATGGTTTGGTGGTCGCATCATTGCAGGTTATCGTCAGGAAAGAATAACATCATGCGCCCATATATATATATATATATATATATATTCGATGCAACCAAATCCCCTGCTGCTACCCTTATACTTGTCACATAATAATCAATTTGGCCGCTTGAAAATAGCTAAGCAATAACGCCGTAAAGAAAAATATTAATATAATATTTGAGATATAAAATAATATTTGTTGTTAAATTATGATTTTTCGTTTTCCATTCTTTTTTTTTTTTTTTTTTGTTTCTTTCTTACAAACAAGGGGAAAAGAGTTTGAAGTAGATTGTCTGCCAGCGCAAAAGCAATTTGACACGTGATAAATGTACCCCTAGGAAACGTTTACTTTGATATGACGTGAAAGTTTGGGAATTATAGGCTTATCTTCGGGGTTGTACGTTGTTTTGTAATTGGTTTGGCTTCTTCATATCAAGTAATGGATGATCATTTATTTTGATTGACTAGCGAATATTGAAAAGGCGCATCCTCATGCTTAATTAATTTGGGGCAACGTAAGAGACGGGATTGAGATGTCTCGTTCACATTTTACAACAAGGATATTAAACGTATATATGAGATGTTAGATTTTAGCCGGACGACGACTTCATTTTCTTTAATTCTTCAGATACAGCAAGGGGATCTTGAAAACAGAAGAAGATATTGGATTGAAAATTTGGAAGCTTTTTTCTCTCTCTTTTTTTTTTTTGGTTTTTTTTTTAAATTAAAATGATTGTTTTGCAAGAGCATAGTATAAATATTATACCATATATATATATATTCACAATTCTATATGCATTAGTCAAATTTGTTAAAAAGACATTAGATTAAATACCATGTTGATGTTGATCATGATTCCACAAGTTAACTCATAACGGGTGGTGTTGTAATTACATTAAAGCATATATTGTTTGAGGCATATAAAAAGGCATTACGTCGCATGCCATGACATTAAGCTAAACTTTCTAGATGACTTGTGGCTTAACGACCAAGTAGTTATCAAATTCCATGACCCTGAATCTGGATTTCTTTGCATTACTTTAACAGAAAGACATTGACAAAGGTACTAATACACAAAAGAAGAGCAGAAGGTGAAAGGAAACGCACCATGGAAAAAGCAAATCTTTTTTTTTATTAATTATTAAAGATTCCACCAATTCCACCACCAACCTTTATTAATCTTTTTCCTACGAGCTGTAAAAACCTTTATATAAAAAAAAAAAAAAACAAATTCACATGCAATTAAAAGTGACTGAATTTTCAACGGAGACAACTACAAGATGATTATCAGTGATGTCATGATTTGACGATGGGCTGAGTAGCATGTATCACGTTACATGACTGAGCAACCCTTTTGGTTTTCTTCGTTAAAACAGTAATTGTACCCACGGCAGGGGCAGCACCAGCTATCATAAACTGGCCTACCACAGGACTCATAACATGGGCGTGGGGGTGGTCCACCATTGTAGCAAGGGCCCCCACCACGTCCATGATAACAATCCGTGCAACAAAACCCAGGAAAGACAATTAGCGGTGGTGGTGGTGGTGGTGGTGGTGGTGGTGGTGGTGGTCCACCAATGTAGCAAGGGCCCCCACCACGTCCATGATAACAATCCGTGCAACAAAACCCAGGATTGACAATTGGCGGTGGTGGTGATGGTGACGGTGGTCGTTGTGCTGGTTTTATAGGTGGCGGTGGTGGTGACGGTGGTCGTTGTGGTGGTTTTAGAGGTGGCGGTGGCGGTGGTGGTTTGATCTCAATACTCTTGATTGATCCGCAACCCTTGCAGCGTATCTTGTCCCTGATCTTCTCTGGAGAGCAGCATACCACCTTAATTGTCACCGTGTTGGCCTTCTCGTCGTATGTCTGGTCTCGTATTTCTCTTGTTCACAAAAGCCATCGTCAAATATCAACTCAGACCATTTCTCGCCTTGAGCTCAATGATTAATTACCTAAATAACTAACTAACTAACTATGTTGTAATTCAATATATAGATAAAATGACAAATAAGATTTATTTATATAAATAAAATAATTATGCACATATGCAGATATACAAAGAGAATTAAGCATAAAAATTCAAGATAAAAACTCACGAGGGAATTTACAGAGTATTTTCTTGACCTTCTTGTAGCAGCGGCGGCAATGCAGGTCGACCTTCAGTACCATTGTCGTCACCTACATCCGTACACACATCAGGGCGGGTTTCTTATTTGAGGATAAAACAAAAAGTAAAAATATAATACTACAAGTAATTAAGTATGTATGATGAAAGAGATCGTAGTAAAAAATTCCATATATCACCATTCGCAAACAAAGCATTTTTCTGCTTTACAGACAAGGGAAAGGGAAATACAATACTCAGGTTCTGACATGGAAGAATGGGCAGATGAGCTATTGAAGAGCACAGAAAAGAAAGAACCACAAAATCGAAAAATAAAATACTTTTTTACAAAAAATATTCAATACGGGGAAACATGGACCAGTAGACAAAGAAAAAAAAAAGAAGAAAGAAATGGGTGTTAGCTGTTAAGCATCTGAAAGAAACTAATGAGGAAAGAGATATGGGTAGAAACCTTCTCCGCCAAGCTAGACCTCGAAAATCCCGAGAATCTTGAACTGAAAAAGAAAGAAACAAAGCAAGAGATACAAATGAAGAACTATATTACAAAGTGAAACAGACCAAAGGGCACGAATGGGGTGAAGGACTCCACTCAAGAGCCTCAAAAATTAAGCCTAGGGAGTTGTACTGTCGTGCACTAAACACCCAATAAAGTAGAGAAACACGTAAGAGTTATGCCGTTTAGAAATAGATTCAAAAATGATCAGTGAGGATTTCGTTACGTAATAGCCTCAATATCACATGATCAGGATGGTGCAAGTAATCTGAGGAATCCGGGAGGGGATAAATAATGAAATTAATTAAGCTTTAATTTTGAGAGCTTAAGCATATATTGTCATTCTCTCTCATTACTAATTAACATTACTTGCATTTGATGTGAAAGTTTGGGGTACTTCCCTTCTGAGTGGTACGTTGTTTTGTAATTGGTTTGGCTTTTTCATGTCAAGCAATGGATGATCATATATGTGGTTACAGCTTGGATGTTGAGTTGCTTTTGCTTGGCATGTGAACATTTACGCGGCGCATCCGTATGCTTAATAATTTGCAGCAACTGTCAGAGACGACTTTGACATGACTCGTTCATATTTTACATTTATAAGGCGCATCCGTATGCTTAATAATATGCGGCAACCGTCAGAGACGACTTTGAAATGACTCGTTCATATTTTACAGCCAGGATATTGAATGTATACATGAGATCTTAGATTTTAGCCGGATGACGATTACACTTAAACTTCCATTCGTTTAGTTGTTCAGAAACGGCGAGTGGATCTTGAAAACAGAAGAAGATACTGGATTGAAATTTGGAAGCTTTTGTCTCTCTTTTTTTTTCTTTGTTTTTTTTAATTAAAATATAGATTTACAACAGTATAGTATATATTATAATATATATTCACACTTATATACGTCAGTTAAAGTTACAAACACATTAGATTAAATAAGTATGTTGATCTTGATCTTGATTCCACAAGTTAACTCATAGCGGGTGGTGTTGTAATTACATTAAAGCATATATTGTTTGAGGCATATATGAAGGCATTACGTCCCATGCCATGACATGAAGCTAAAGTTTCTAGATGACTTGCGGCTTAACGACGAAGTAGTTATGAAATTCCATGACCCTGGATCTGGATTTCTTTGCAATACTTTAACAGCAAGACATTGTCTAAGATACTAAAACACAAAAGAAAAACAGTAGGTGAAAGGGAACGCACCATGGAAAAAGCCAATCTTTTTTTATCAATTATTAAAGATTCCACCAATTCCAACACCAACCCTTATTAATCTTTTTCCCACGAGCTGTAAAAACTTTTATATACTAACAAAAAAAAATTCACATGCAATTAAAAGTGACTGAATAGTCATCGGAGACAACTAGAAGATGATTATCAGTGATGTCATGAATTGACGATGCCCTCGGTAACATGTATCACGTTATGGTTGAGCAACCTTGTGGGTTTTCCTCGGTAAAACAGTAAGTGTAGCCGCCGCCGTGGCAGTCCAGCTATCATAAACAGGCCTACCATAGGTCAAATAACATGGGCGCGGGGGTGGTCCACCAAAGTAGCAAGGGCCCCCACCATGTCCATGATAACAATCCGTGCAACAAAATCCAATCGGCGGATAGTGCATTGGCGGTGATTTTTCCGGTACTTTTGGTTTCTCTGGCTTCTTTTCGGGCTCTTTAGGCTTCTCAGGTTTCTTTTCAGGTTCTTTAGGCTTTTCAGGTTTCTTCTCAGGCTCCTCGGGCTTTTCAGGTTTCTTCTCGGGTTCTTTAGGCTTTTCAGGTTTCTTCTCAGGCTCCTTGGGTTTTGGAGATGGTGAGGTGGTTTGATCTCAATACTCTTGATGGATCCGCCACCCTTGCAGCATATCTTGTCCCTGATCTTCTCTGGACAGCAGCATACCACTGTGATTGTCACCATGTTGGCCTTCTCGTCGTATATCTGGTCTCATATTTCTTTTGTTCACAAAAGCCATCATCAAATATCAACTCAGACCATTTCTCTCCTTGAGCTCAATGATCACCTAACTAACTAACTAACTAACTATGTTCCATTTCAGTACTAACTATATAGAGATAAAATGACAAATACGATTTATTTATATAAATAAAATAATTATGTACATATGCAGATATACAAAGAGAATTAAGCATAAAAACCAAGACAGAAACTCACGAGGGAATTTACAGAGTACTTTCTTGACCTTCTTGTAGCAGCGACAGCACTGAAGGTCGACCTTCAGCACCATTGTCGTCACCTACATCCGTACACACATCAGGGTGGGTTTCTTATTTGAGGATAAAACAAAAAGTAAAAATATAATGCTACAAGTAATTAAGTATGTATGATGAAAGAGATCGACGTAATTAATTCCATATATCACCATTAGCAAACAAGGCATTTTTATGCTTTACAGACAAGGGAAAGGGAAATACAAGACTCAGGCTCTGACATGGAAGAATGGGCAGATGAGCTATTGAAGAGCACAGATAAGAAAGAACCATAAAATCGAAAAATAACATCAACTTTTTATAAAAATATACAATACAGGTAAACATGGACAAGGAGAAAAACAATAAAAAAAAAAGGAAGAATTGGGTGTTAGATGTTTAGTATTGAACGAAACTATAGAGAAAAGAGATATGTGGTTAGAAACCTTCGCCATTGCTAGGACTAGAAAACCCCAGATCTGAACTGAAAAGAAAGAAGCAAAGCAAGAGATCAAATGAAGAATTACAATTACAAAGTGAAACAGACCAAAGGGCAAGATGGGTGAAGAACTCCCTCAAGAACCTTAAAAATTAAGACTAGGGAGTGTAGTTTCGTGCACTAACACCCAATATGTAGAAAACCCATGGAGTTTGCCGTAGAAATAGAATTTCAAATGATAAGGAGGATTTCGTTAGGTATAGCTCATATTCACATGATTCAGGATGATGCAACTAATCTGTGGAATCCGGGAGGGGATCAATAATGACATTAATTAAGCTTTAATTTTGAGAGCTTAAGCATATATTGTCATTCTCTCTCATTACTAATTAACATTACTTTCATTTGATGTGAAAGTTTGGCGTTTAGATACTTTTCTTCTGGGTGGTACGTTGTTTTGTAATTGGTTTGGCTTTTTCATGTCAAGCAATGGATGATCATATATGTGGTTAGGTTTGGATGTTGAGTTGATTTTGATTGACTTGTGAAAATTTATAAGGCGCATCCGTATGCTTAATAATTTGCGGCAACCGTCAGAGACGAGTTTGACACGACTCGTTCATAAATTACAGCAAGGATGAGATCTTAGATTTTAGCCGGATGACGACAACACTGAAACTTCATTTCGTTTGGTTCTTCAGTAACAGCGAGTGGATCTTGAAAACAGAAGAAGATATTGGATTGAAATTTTGGAAGCTTTTGTCTCTCTTTTTTTGTCTTTATTTTTTTAATTAAAATATAATTTTACAACAGTATAGTATATATTATAAGATTAATATTTTATATATAGATAATATATTATTTTTATACATCGTTAATGAATAATATAATAATATTTTATTAATAAATTAAATTTTAAATTTTAAATTTTTAAAAATAAATATTAATATAAATATGAGATATGTATCTTTCTATAAATTCGAAAATGATAAAATAAAATCATGAGAGGAAAATAAGAAATTAAATTAAAAATTAAAAAATTAAAAGAAGAAGACGGTGAATACAAAAAGAGGTGATAAAAAATTTTTTAATTTTAATTAATTAACCCACTGTGCTTCTTTCTTTCAGAATGGATCGATCAAGCTCTTCTTATCTTTCCAACTCGAAATACGCGACGATCAAAGATGGCTTTACCAGCTGCCTGTGATATTCAAAAGAAAACTAGATCAGAGTGCAAAAGTGCCTTTTGCCTCGCCTTCGACAGTCCTTCGTTAGTCAATTTCGGGTCTACAACTACAAATAGGCTATAAAGCAAGCACCTATGGCTGGATAGAACCCAATTTTTCAAAGGTGATTGTTGGCAGGGCAAGTAAGGACGCAAAGCCGACGGTGTTCCGAATTAAATGTAATGAGCACCAGAGGGAACTCCCCAATGGAAATGAATGCGAATTGCAAGACTTGGAATAGGCTCCGAAACGAAGTAGACGGATGAGAACGGAATCTTTTCAATTGAAAGAGAATAGAGTTCAACCAACCTGTCTGTGTGCCTGTGCCCTCGAACAGAGACAGAGAAAGAGTAGAAAAGAAAATATTCTGCAAATACAGAGGAGGTGACAAAAAAGAGAAAATTTTTAATTTTAATTAATTAGTTTTAAATAAATTTATTAATATTTATTTTTAAAAATTTGAAATTTAAAAATTTTATTTATTAATAAAATATTTTTATATTATTTACTAACAGTGTATAAAAATAATATATTAAATATTAATCCTATAATATAATAGATATTCACAATTATATACATCAGTTAAAGTTACAAAGACATTGGATTAAATACGTATGTTGATGTTGATCTTGATTCCACAAGTTAACTCATAACGGGTGGTGTTGTAATTACATTAAAGCATATATTGTTTGAGGCATATATGGAGGCATTAAGTCGCATGCCAAGACACGAAGCTAAAGTTTCTAGATGACTTGGGGTTTAACGACGAAGTAGTTATCAAATTCCATGACCCTGGATCTGGATTTCTTTGCAATACTTTAACAGCAAGACATTGACTAAGATACTAATACACAAAAGAAAAACAGAAGGCGAAAGGAAACGCACCATGGAAAAAGCAAATCATCTATACAATAGAGACTTTTAACTTTTTTTTTATTAATTATTAAAGACTCCACCAATTCCACCACCAACCTTTATTAATCTTTTTCGTACGAGCTGTAAAAACCTTTATATACTCAAACAAAAAAAAAAAAAACAAATTCACATGCAATTAAAAGTGACTGAATATTCAACGGAGACAACTAGAAGATGATTATCAGTGATGTCATGAATTGACGATGCGCTCATTAACATGTATCACGTTACATGGTTGAGCAACCTTGCGGGTTTTCTTCGGTAAAACAGTAACTGTAGCCGGCGCCGCGGCAGCCCCAGCTATCACAAACCGGCCTACCATAGGTCACATAACATGGGCGTGGGGGTGGTCCACCAAAGTGGCAAGGGCCTCCACCATGTCCATGATAACAATCCGTGCAACAAAATCCAATCGGCGGATAGGCCATTGGCGGTGATTTTTCCTGTTCTTTTGGTTTCTCTGGCTTCTTTTCGGGCTCTTTCGGCTTCTCAGGTTTCTTTTCAGGTTCTTTAGGCTTTTCAGGTTTCTTCTCAGGCTCCTTGGGCTTTTCAGATTTCTTCTCGGGTTCTTTAGGCTTTTCAGGTTCAGGTTTTTTCTTCTCCGGTTCGTTAGCCTTTTCGGGTTTCTTCTCAGTCTCCTTGGGTTTTGGAGGTGGTTTGATCTCAATACTCTTGATGGATCTACCACCCTTGCAGCATATCTTGTCCCTGATCTTCTCTGGAGAGCAGCATACCACCGTGATTGTCACCGTGTTGGCCTTCTCGTCGTATATCTGGTCTCGTATTTCTTTTGTTCACAAAAGCGATCATCAAATATCAACTCAGACCATTTCTCTCCTTGAGCTCAATGATCACCTAACTAACTAACTAACCAACTATGTTCTAATTCATTACTAAGTATATATAGATAAAATGACAAATACGATTTATTTATATAAATAAAATAATTATGAACATATGCCAGATATACAAAGAGAATTAAGCATAAAAATTCAAGATAGAAACTCACGAGGGAATTTACAGAGTACTTTCTTGACCTTCTTGTAGCAGCGACAGCACTGCAGGTCGACCTTCAGCACCATTGTCGTCACCTACATCCGTACACACATCAGGGTGGGTTTCTTATTTGAGGATAAAACAAAAAGTAAAAATATAATACTACAGGTAATTAAGTATGTATGATGAAAGAGATCGTAGTAATTAATTCCATATATCACCATTAGCAACCAAAGCATTTTTCTGCTTTACAGACAAGGGAAAGGGAAATACAAGACTCAGGTTCTGACATGGAAGAGTGGGCAGATGAGCTATTGAAGAGCACAGAAAAGAAAGAACTACAAAATCGAAAAATAACAATAACTTTTTATAAAAATATACAATACAGGTAAACATGGACAAGGAGAAAAACAATGAAAAAGAAAAAAGGAAGAATTGGGTGTTAGATGTTTAGTACTGAACGAAACTATAGAGAAAAGAGATATGTGGTTAGAAACCTTCTCCGCCATTTCTAGGACCAGAAAACCCCAGATCTGAACTGAAAAGAAAGAAGCAGAGCAAGAGAGATCAAATGAAGAATTATAATCACAAAGTGAAACAGACCTAAAGGCAAGAGGGGTGAAGGACACACTCTACAGCCTTATAATTTAAGCCTAGGAGTGTAGTTTCGTGCACTAACCCCACAAGTACAGAACACATGTAGTATGCCCGTAGAAATAGAATTTCAAATGATCGGAGGATTGTCGTTATTATGAGGGGTTACTTTTGCATTTGATTGCTGACTCACCAATCCTGCCCTGCATGTGCTGGCGTTGATGATGGGCACATTTCACCTTACCATAACTTATACCTAACAACAATAATTATTATTATTTTATATTATAACTAGTTTGTTACGAATTATCTTGTTTTATTAATTTACTTTTAATTATTTTTTAATCAATTATTTTTTAATTGTAATTGAAATCATTTTTTTAAGAAATTTAGTTTGTGATGTAACAAGTTAAAAATTATTTATCATTTAATCTAGTTATTTGTTATTTATTTAATAAGATAAACAAAAATAATTTGTGTAAAATAATTTATTTTCATAATGATACGTAAGATAAATTTTAATTTTATGTTATTTTTCAAACAAATATATTTAAAAAATTATTAGTTATTCAAATTTTTAAAATTTAAAAGAAAGACAAAATCATATATATCTAATTATTTATGCTTGAAATTAATTTATAGTTAAAATACAATGAAAAAGAATCCTATAAATCATGATTAATTATAATTTTATTTCAAAAATCACAAATTATTTTTTTAATTTCAATTGTTTTTCTCTTGCCAAATAATCTCATACACTTTAAGTATGATAATATTATTTATCATATGAAAAATATATAATTTTATATCAATTAAATCTTAGAAAGTTAGTTAAATAAATCTTATTCAATTAAACTAATTAAAATAAATTAAGAAAATACTTATTTTTAAATTCATATTCATGTTTGATTAATGAATATTTTTCAAAATTCAAACAAAGGAAATTGAAAAAAAAAAACAAAAATGGACCGTAATTAAATATAATTTTTTTAACTTTATTAGGAAGTAAACATATTTGTTAGTTGGATTATGGGTCAGATTTATGATTACATGCATAACTTTTTAAGTATGGATTCAAAATATTATTATATTAAAAAAATGTTTAATTTAAAATTTAAAATATATTTAATATTATAAAATTTTAACATTTTAATAACAAATATAAATTAAATAGGTGATATGATTCAAACTTAAAACAAAATCTAAAATTTAGAAATGTTTACAACTGGATACCACCAAATTCATAGACACTTCTTAATTTTTTAAATTCAAAAATTTTTTAAATTATGTTTAAGAAAATATCAAGTACATATTAAATGAAATTTGATTTAAAAAATATAAAAGAATGAAATCAAATTGGATTTCAATTTATCCTAACTTTTTTTATAAATAAAAAGAGTGTTATGACTTTGACAAGAAAGAAGTATAGCAAATTACAAATTTTTATACAAAATTATAATTGATGGGCTAATTATATTATATATATTTATATATGATTTCAAAATTCAATTAGTTCTTATTATTTGTAACAATATTTCAATATAAATGGTATATTCAAATTAATGTAATCAAGTAGACTATTAATGAATATGATTTTACATATTGCAAGAAAGTTAAATTAAGTTAAAAAAAATATTACCTAATTGAGTGAATAGTCAATATAAAGAAAAAAAGCTCATAAAATAGTATCTACAAAATAGAAAAATAAATATTTTCTATAGCTTTGTACTTTGTAATATGTCATAACATATAGATTTGTAAATCTATAGCTAGATTTAACAAATGGAGTCACCACTAATTTTTTTTATCTAAGTGTGATTGGTAACCTAAGGAATCTATCATCTTAAGGAGATTATAAGCTTGATGAAGGGTATTTAAAAGAATAAGTTCGGGTTTACAAATCAGAACAGGATTCTGGAGTTCGGTTATATGTGAAAAAAATTATAACACTCCCACATATCCATCCGAAGGATTGTACCATATTATTTCAAATTTATCCTAAGGACTTAAGTCTAATGGTTTTAAATTTTTATGTTAAATATTAAAAATAATTTATAAGATTCTTCCATCAATCTGGTAGAATTCTTAAAAATATTTTCTTACCTCAAGAGTATTCAAAGATTTCATTTGTTTCATTGAAGAGGCTCCGTCATCTAAAAAAAGGTTTAATTATTATTTTTTGTCAAAAATATATCTAATTATTTCACCATTTGAGCCAAATTAAAAATATTTTTTATTTTTGAATTCCTAAAATTTTCACCATTTGGGCCTATTTATAAATTTTATTTATTTATTTATTAGATTTCTAAATTTTTCACAATTTGAGTCAATTTAGAAATATTTTTTTATTTTTTTTTATCTTCAAAAGGAAAATAATATGATAATTATTTTTTATTAAAATTTTATTTAAATTCTTCTATCATTTGTGACAAATTTAAAAAAAAATTTCACCTAGAGATTTATTAAGAATTTAACATTTGAAATTTTTAAGAATCTTATGATTGGATAATTATCAAATATTTTCAACCAAATTTGGAAAAGAATACAATTACTTTTATTGAAATTTCATCTAAATTATTTCAATATTTGGGATAAATTTAGAGAAAATTTCTCACCTAGCGATTTCTTAGAAATTTACCATTTGAAATTTCTAAGAATCTCATCCTTGGGTAATTTGTACTTAATTTTAAAATTTTTATCAATATTTTTTATTTTTTTATTTTGAAAATAAATATTAATTATTATTAAAACTTTATCTAAATTATTCCACCATTTGGGATAAATTTAAACAAAATTTTTTACTTAAAAATTTTATAAAAATTTATCATTTGAAATTTTTATAAATTTCATCATTGGATAATTAATATTTATTCCCAAAATTTATTTTTTATTAGTTATTATTTTTTAAAAAAATTTAATCATGCAAAAAATACTAAAAAAAACACATAAAATAAATAAATAAAAATAAAAAATCAAAGAACGACTCAGCTTGACTGAAATTTAGCTCGGCTTGAGGCACAAAAAGTGGCGCGTAGACGAAGCTTAGGGACACGGCTCGACTCAGCTCGACTGAAAGGGTTGGCTGGAACGCGGGTCGACCAAAACGGGTTGCACTCAGGTTGGGTTATCCGAATGGAAAACACACGGATCCTAAGTGTTTTTAACGCCAAAACGACGTTGTTTTGCGCATGTATAAAATGCTGAAATCCTATCTTTTCTTCAGATTTCCCTTATTTCCTCTCTCTCTCTCTTCCCTTTACTTTTCTCTCCCATTCTCTTTACAAACCTAGAATTCGGTTAAATATTCAATCAAAAACTAGAAAAAATACACTGAAAAATATGAATTTAGCCGAAAAATTCATATGAATCTGAAATTTTTTTAGAAATTTTTTAGAAAAAAAGGTCAAAAAATTTTAAAAAATTCTTAAAAATCTGAAAATTGCTTCTGACACATTCTAAAATTTTTTCTGAATTCTGCCTTATGTTTTTTGCTCTCTGTTTTGTGTGTTTTCATTTATTTTGTGTCTTGGTCTATATTTATAGGCATTGATAAGAAAAGTTTATGATCAATGCCAATTTCTTCTGTAATTAGGATTCAATCTTTGAGTATAATTTCAAGTTTACCAACCCCAGATTCACGGCAAAAATTTTTTCTTCTAGAACAAAAATTATATTGAAAAAAATAATAATTAAAATAAAATTAAGAACAAATAAAAATAAAATAGAAAAATAAAAATGAAAATGGGCCAATCTTGCCCCATTTAGACCAGGTCCAATTGGTCTGGACATGGATCGAATTGGGTGTCTACATAATATATGAAAAAAAAAAAACCAATTAAAAAAATATTACCTAATTATGTGAATAGTCAAAAGTAAGGAAAAAAAGTCTATAGATAATACTTATAAAATATAAGAATATATATGTTTATGTAATTTTACACCTTGTAATATATATATATATATATATATAGTCCAACTTAAAGACTATGAGCTTATCATAAGTATTTCTTTCTTGTGAGGTATTTTTTGTAAGATAAAATTATGAGGTCAAAGAAGGCAAAACGAATAATACCTCACAATAATATAAACCGTAACAAATAAGTTAATCTAAGACCTCGGATGAATGGATGCTAAAATTCTAAAATCATATAAATTCGAAGTTTAAGTCTCAACTCGTGATACAAGTACAGGGCATGCAACATCACATGTGAATCGTACACGTCTCCCTAGGCCCAATGGCTCGCATCTGTCGACATTTGTTGATGTCCATTTTTCAGTATGTCCTTTCGTCCGTCTGTTCATGGAGAACCCTCGATCACCAATTCAGGGGTGGAACACACGACTTGAATCGTGAATTTCCTTTAGCAAGTAGCAACCATCGATTGACTAGTATTAGAACAATCAATGTAAATATATTATCACAAGTTCATGAAGGTAAAAATTTACATAGCGATGATGATGATGATGACGACGATGATGATGGTACATTTTTTGTTGTTTAATCAAGTAATGTAGTATAATATTATGTATCTATAGCTCACATTCACATGATTCAGGATGATGCGTGTAACCTGCGAAATTCTGGAGGGGATAATTAATGACATTAATTAAGCTTTAATTTTGGGACCTCAAGCGTATATTGTCATTCTCTCTCATTACTAAACAACATAATAATTCCACCTTTTTTATTTTTCAATTTTTGTGCATTTTGAAAAAAGTTTTGACTCTTATAAGTTTAATTTTTTTTATAATATTATGTATCGCACTTTCTATTTTAAAAAATTAAAAAAATTTTAAATATAGTAAAATAATATCATAAAATGTTAAAATAATAATAATAATAATAATAATAATAATAATAATAATAATAAAAAGTACGTCGGTTCGTCTAAGCTTTGAAACGCGAACTACACTTCTTCTGCATCGGGCAAAGGGTTCAGTGTGATTGGCTAAATCAGAGATGTAATGAGCTAGGTCGGACAAAATTAATTTACGAGTGGGCTTAGATAAGCCGCTTTTATTCTCCAGTTGGGAATACATGCTGGGCTTTCTTGACTTTTTGGTAATTGCCTTAAATGTTAGTAATATTTCCTACTGCCTCCCACAGTTTTGTGCTTTACGTACCTGTAGAGTTGCTAAAAAGACTGCGACTAAGAATTATGTCCGCAACAAACAAATTTAAACTGTTATAGAACTGATGAAAAGGAGGCGTCGGCAACGCAAATTTTTGAATTTCTCAGAGGTTTAGGAATTAATGGATGCTAGAAAGAAGAAGATGCCAAAGATTTTTTTAGACTTACCAAAGTGACCTAAGAGATCAATGGCGCCAGTCAAAGCCACGATTTAAATCTTAAAACCATTCAGATATGAATCAATTTTATGTTTGATCAGGGTCCATTTCACATTTATGAGGCACCTCAGTTATGAGCGAATGGAGTATGGCCGATCGCACTTACACAAAGCTGATGGGAATTTCTCTTCCCCGTTTCAATTTCTTGGGACCAAACGAATTAATTCGGGAACACTTTAGCATGGAATAAAAAAAAAAAAACATCACTCAACTTTGCGCAACAAGAAGAAGAATATCTACTAACGGATCAATGGTCACCAAATATTTCTTTAGGTAACAACATTATCTTTAAAATTTCATATGGTCACTGACTCCTTCCTAAGCTACTTAAAATAATCCGCACAGCATCCACACTGTGATAATAATATCAACCACGCATGATCATTGGAGACAACTAGGTCCACATAGTCACCATTTAGTACTACAGCTGCACATGCTTGTAGAGTACCACGGTCACATACTTGGCCAAAAATCGATTAGTTGAACCAAGTGCCACCACAGGTTGGCCACTCTTTTCCTTCTGAATATAGAGATGGTTAAGAATTACATGCTTAGGTCTTGACAGAGGAGGTGGAATCTCCATGTGAGATGCACGCTGATTATGCAGTGGCACTTGTAGGTGTGAAGAAACTAGTGGTGGCTCCTTAGCAAAATCTTCAGCTCCAAGTGGCAAGTTATTATAGCTCGACTCTGGGGACTGAGGAGGTTCAAAGCTAGATATACTTTCGAGATCTTCTGGAACATAATCCTGCACAGTATCATTCACAATTAGAATTTCTAATTAAAGTGTTTGTGAAAGCCATGCATTAATCAAGGCGATGAAGCAAAGGGAGAAAGAAGACACTAATACAAGCAAGAATTGACATTAGTACTCCTGCTCATCAACGAACTGATAAAAGTAACATTAACAGTGCCACTTCCATAAGAAGTTGATTATAACCAAACCTGTTTGATGAATATAGCAATTTAATAGAATGTATGCAACTAAATGTTATAACCAAGTGAGAGTCACTGCTTTTGATCACACGTCAAACAAAATGCTTTGATGCTTTTGCTCAGCAATATATGAATTTTAGACCCAACAACAAGGCCAAGCCTGACAAGCACATTTTATCAGTATCAGTAGAAAACACCACCAAGGAATGACTTTATTCCAAGCTGAAATTGCTACCGCCATGAATAAAGGAAAACATGGATCATAACCATTAGAGAAATATACAGCTTCTACAGAGCATGAACCTTGATAGAATTTAAAAAAAAAATGCAACATTGCATGTAAAGGCAGATAGCTCAATTGAAAGGAGTTTATAAGAATGGAATTCACTTCATCAGGACAGGAGAGAATATAATCATGCATGCCAAATAGCGGCAATCATATTTTATGAGAACAAATAGTTGGGAAAGCTAAAAACTACAAATACCAAACTCAAAAAATACTAGTGTACATCTAAAAGAAGAAGACAAATGCATTTACCTGCAAGTCCAAAATGTTGTTAGCATTGCCCACGTCATCTTGTGCCCATGGCAAGTCAGGAACATACCTCCATCGTCCATCAACAATGAACCTATACTGATAAACACCTGATGGTAACACTTTCATAATAGTGAAGTCTTTTCCACATCTCTGCAAAGGAATTCTGATCAAGATTGCAAACAAGTTATATGTCAGACCTGCAGGTAGCGGTTCATAAAGAGCTAACTATTTTTCTTTCAATAAAAAATGTAGAAGGCGTTGAATATCTGGAACCTTGTCTTCCAATTATCCCATGATCCCTCAACAGCTACTTCTTTGCCGCCATGGCCCCATGTAATCATTGTTGGAATACCCATCTCAGTGCACCCATCCTCATATCCTATTGCAGCCTGTAACCATGGTTGGCTTGGTGTGTGTATCTCATCACGTCTTTGTAAGGGAACAACAGGAGCCTGGGATGAAAGAAGGCACAGTGGATAACACTGACAGCTTTTTCAGAGAAATAGACATCACATGAGCAACACGCGTGTTCCAGATACTAAAAATTGGAAAGAACAATTAATATGCATATTACTCAAGGCACAGTGGATAAAATTGACAGCTTTTTCAGAAAAATAGTCATCACATGAGCAACACGCATGTTCCAGATACTAAAAATTGAAAAGAACGATTAATATGCATATTACTGTACTAGCATAGTAGAAAACAGTTAACTACAAAATACAAACAAGTTCCTATCTGTCTTGTGATGACCCAGAAAAGACCAAAACTAGGAGACTAAGAAAATAACAGATTTGAGAAATCTGGCTATGTGATGTGTGATGGGCTTAGGCTTAGGCTTAGGAGAATTAGAGCAGGATTTGGGTTACGAGAAGAAAAGGATTTTAGGATTTAGGAAAAGAAAGGACTGGCACATGGTAAGAAGTTCCCGTAAAAACCAAAATTGGGCACCAAGAGAATTATCTAAACTCTAAAATTCCTAGACTATGACCTAAATTATTCAGAAGTCCATAATTTGCAGATATTGCAAGAAACTACATATTGGCCCCTATTGCCTGCACATTAATAACATCTCCTTAAATTTACAAACAAAGGGATCTCACAAAGAGTCTCCACCAAAATTGCAACGAAAAAAATCGAACTTTCCTGCAACAACACCAACACAGACCGACAATGGAAGTTATTAGATATAACCTAGGAGTGAATCCCCGATAAAATTAAGCAACGATTCCAGACCACATGCAACAAAATTAAATCACATTCCATTGAAATCTGTCCCCAAAAACCAATCGAAAAATAGTAAGAAAAAAATATTTGCTTGTTTTAGCAAAATAAAAATAACGTACCTGAGGGGTAAACATGAGAGGAGAGTGGGTGGCCGTGGGGCTGTGAGGAGGTGAGTGACCCATGGGTGCAGCCATAGCTTCGTTTACACTGTTACCTGCTTCTTCTTCTTCTTCTTCTTTTTCTTCTTCAATTCCTGATTGGCTGCTACTCCCATCTTCTCTAACATTCACATTCCCCATTTTTAAATAATTATTATTAATTATTTTTTCCTATTGATGATCAATTTATCACGTTTTTTAATGTATATAACCAATACCCACCAGTCGAAGAATCTCACAATTGATTCATGATTCCCCCATTACAAGTGATACCCACAACATGCCCTTAAAAAAAAAAAAGACCCAGATGGAAAATTGAGAAAAATTTGTAAAAATTAGAAGAAGAAGAAGTGTCTTTATGTTGAAAGAAAAAAGAATAAAAGAAGAGAATTCTCCGATGAGTTTGGTAGATTAGTAAGTGTTGATGATGTAGTTGGAATGGGGATGAATGGATGATGGTCACGTCATCATTTGACAAAGTCATTCTTTCTCTGATTTCATTTGGTTGGGCTGGGGATATGACATGAGCTTCACCTGTTTATACCTCACTTTGAGCCCTACTTTATAACATTTCACTTCAACTGCTTATTCCTTCTTTCCCTTTTTCCTTTTTTCCTTTTTCCTGTTTATTTATTTATAATACTAGTAGTTTTTTTTGTTGAAGAAGACCCATCGCCATCATCAAGCGGCCCAACTCGTAGCCACTTGTTTTGGGTTGGTCCATAAAACAATTAGGTGAAACGGGATCCAATCCACACCGATTTCATTGCGTAATTCAAACAGCGAACTCACAACACAAGCAGAAGCAATCCCGTGAGTAACCACTTCCTACTCCTACTGTCTCCCATTATCATTTTTTAGTTTGCTTTTTATGCCAAAGCTTTAAACTTTTCATTTCTTTTGCTGTTAAACCCAAACTTGCTTTTCATTCATTGAAACTTGGTTTGCGTTTGCTTTCTAGTTTTTCATTTCTGGGCATGCTTTTTTTTTACAAACAAATGTTCAACGCACTGTTTGTATATATTGACCGTGTTTAATGTGTTGTATTATACTGATGGTGCATTTGATCCCACTGATCCATCACTCCATTCTGACTTAAGTGTAAAAGAATGATAATTCAAACAGAAGATGACATTGGAGAAAGGCCTACTTCGGCTTCATAAACCAACCTATTTATTGAATGATATTGCATTTCCTAGTCATGCAAATCATGGCCAATTTATTCTCTTCTACATTCTTATTCACTCTTAGTAATCCCTCACAGCTAGATTGCAACCATGCCCTTTTCTTTTCAATGTTCCAGTAGCTGTTATAAGTTTAGTCTTTGTTGAGTTTATTAACAAGTACATTAGTCAGTATTTGCTATTTGGCCAAATCCCGTTGCTAGGGATGAAATAGTCGTTTAATGTCATTGATAGTCACATTCTTTGCATTTTGTTCACCCTGCCTTGTTTTCCCTGAAGTTTCCCTCCCATTTATCATTCACTTTGTGGTCCCAAGCACCATTCATATGCTATAGATAATTCAGTAGCAAATAAAATGCATCTCTGTTAACAGTACTTTTGTTAGTGTAATATTATCTCTTATCTAATAAATATCAAATTTTTTATAATTTTATATTCAAATGTGACCATTTTCACTTACTGTCAATTGATTTTAAGTTGAATGTTTAACTTGGTATCAAGCTAGAATTTCCTTCCGTTGCTCTTTTCTAATTTGTTACGTAATAGCCTTATTTTCTTTTTGTTTATACGTGAAGACCTGTTAAAGTAGGTTATCACTGTTAAAGTGGTTATCCCATATCTAATAAATATATAATTTTTTATAGTTTTATATTCAGATTTGTCTACATATGATAAAAGTCTATTTTCTTATAGTCTTATATTCAGGTTATCACTGATAAAATGGGTTATCCTACATTTAATAAATATTCAATTTCTTATAGTCTTATATTTAAAATCACCTACATATGATGAGGTCTTATTTTCTTATGATCTTATATTCAGGTTCGTTTACACGTGATGAAAGCCTATTAACGTGGGTTATTTCACATCTAATAAATATTTAATTTCTTCTAAACTTATATTCAGGTTGGATCCCTCTACCTACCATAAATTGGTTTGAAGTTGGATACTTAATATGATGAAAGCCAATTAAACTGGGTTATCACTGTTAAAGTGAGTTATCTCACATCTAATAAATTTTCAATTTCTTATAATCTTATATTCATATCTAATTTCTTCTAAACTTATATTCAGGTTGGATCCATCCACCTACCATAAATTGGTTTGAAGTTGGATGCTTAATATATTGAAAGCCAATTAAACTGGATTATCACTGTTAAAGTGAGTTATCTCACATCTAATAAATTTTCAATTTCTTATAGTCTTATATTTAGATTCGTCTACACATGATGAGAGCTTATTTTTTTATAATCTTATATTCAAGTTATTAATGTTAAAGTGGATTATTCCACATCTAATAAATATTCAATTTTTTATAATCTTATATTCAGATTCATCTATATATGATGAAAGTATGTTTTCTTATAGTATTATATTCAGGTTTACCTACACGTGATGAGGGCCTATTAAAGTTGATTATCCCATATTTAATAAATATTTAATTTTTTATAGTCTTATATTCAGGTTGAGTCCCTCCACTTATCGCCAATTAGTTTGAAGTTATATTCAGGATGGGCCCCTTCATTTATCGCTAATTGGTTTGAAGTTGAATGCTTAACATAATATCAAAGATAAGATTTTTTTCTATTATTTTTTTCAAATCTATCACATATTAAGCTTTTCATGTAGTCTTATATTCAGTGGATGCATAATATGCTATTAGAATCAGGATTTTTTGTTATTGTCTTTTTTAAATTTGTCACATAGTAAGCTTTTTCTATAGTCTTGTATTCAGATTGGGTACCTTTACTAACTATTTGTTCTTTTCAAATTTATTATGTAATAGATTTTTTTTTATCTCTGCCTACACGTGACCTGATTTTAAATTAGATGCTTAAAATTCTAAGAGACAATTTACCCATCTTCGTCTCGTTTATAAGCTATAAGTTACCTGTTTACCACAGTTAAGCCTTGTTTACATATTTACTTATTTTGTTAGAACTTAACTTTTGCTAGCTAACTTTTGCAAGTCAGGACAATGTTGCAGTTCTAGATTAACACAAATCCTAGTGAAATGGTAATGCATAGGTGTTGAATGCTTATCTTTAATACAATCATTGATCATTATATTGCCAGTTTGCTACTCAATTACTGACGTTATCTGAAATCTTTTATGCTATTGAAATCTATGCTCCCAAGTTTTGATATAAAAGTTTACTGCTTTCAAGCTCTCCTTAACATGGAAAGTATCGGAAGTGTCCTCTTGAGGCATGTCAGGATGAGGGAGTCAACTAGGGGAAGGTGTTTCACTCATAGAGGAAACATGCTTAAGCTACTTAGACACCAGCTCTGTACATCAACAGGTGCTAGCAATGATCAAATAATGGACTGAGTGATTGGATTGGTCAAGAAGTACGACAAAATTGATGCCAGTAAGGTTATAGACTGCTATTCCATGTTGATTTGCATTTTTACGTCTCAACTGTTTGTCTCACGGTTGCTTAGCGGGATGGAATCTCAAATCTCGTTCATCATGGTAACTGTTTGTAAGTTGGATGTTCTTATTGTTTTGAGCTATGCTATATCAGTAACAATGAACAAGAATCTAATCTAACATTTGTCTATTGATCAGGTAACTGAAACAGCTGATTTTCAAAAAGATTTATGCCTGGATAGCATAGATAGGGTTGAGCTTGTTATGGCATTTGAGGAAGAATTCTCCATTTAAATCCCAGATGAGAATGCAGATAAGCTGACTTGCTGTGCTGATGATGCAAAATACATAGTTTCTGGATCAGGGCCAAACATTGCAAAGTCCTAACAGTTTTGGGATGGTTTCAGTCCCTGTTGAAGAATGTATTTGTCGTTATGAAGTATGGGTGCGAATTTTGTGTGACAGTTAATCTTGGGGTTGCTTTACAGATATCTCCCGACTTTAGATCTTATGGTTGCCAAACATGTAAAAGAATACTGTTTGAGCACTGCGTTTTTGCCTTGTTTCAATTATTTCATTTCAACCTTGAAATAACTCGTCTAATACATGTAAGTGTATTTGATTCTCACAACTCATATTGTAACAAGACAAAGTATTGTTATATACATGACAATATATATGTATTGGAGGGGGATTGCAGCTTTTAAACTCAATGCTGTGACCGAAGCGCCATCTAAATGAGCCATGCCATGTGCCATATCCCAGTGTATCAGTCAGGCTATTTGTTTGTCAATGCTAGCCCTTCCGATGCATGTTTTTAAAGGTTTAGATGTTATATGCTGGAACCTTATCTTTCCGGCTGTATAGGCGCGGATGCCATTCCCAACAGATGAAAATCTTAGTCCCTTGTGTTTCTTGACGAATGCAGGTCGGCACATTGAGTTCTTTGGTATTTGCAGAACGTTAACTTCACATATCTTTTGCAAATTGGGAATGCCGTGGAGGTGGGAAGGAAGGTCGATCAGAAAATCTCCATATTCATCCGTTATAGCTTGTGCTGAACCTGATTTGCTCTTACAAGCAGTTTGGCATTTGACAGAAACCAAAGCACCTATATATAAATTTAGAAATTAAAAAAAAAAGTTTATTATAAACTTCAATTTGATGATTATCTCACATTAAATTGTAGACTTTATGGACTAATTAATACAATTAAGCTGTCCATTTCGTAGAATTGAATTCATACAATAAATATATATATATAATGATTAATGTGAATGATGTGTTTACTCATTATATAATTAAATGGAGGAAAGGAACGTAATTCAAATGCCTAGTCAATTGTGACTTTGCATTTTGTGGAGCCAGAGGATTACATCTTAAATGGAGGGCCTCAGGTGGTCGCTAAAGATGATAAAGTTGAGATCTAAAATCAATTATAAATTAAATTTAGACAAGATTATTATCCATTTTTCTGTCGTTTTTAAATATTGCTTCCTTTTCCAGTTTTCAAACAATATTATCGTGACTTTTCACCAATATTTCCTATATATGACGTCCAAATTTCTTTGATCTCAAGTTTGTTTGATATTGCAACTGCTGAAACCGATGGAGAGGATCCAACGCAACTTAAAAATGACAATCAACGTTACTTTTTTGTTCACGATCTTTGTACAGTTTTTTTTTTTTTTTTTTGGCCTAAAACAAGCATATATATATATATATATATATATATATGCTTAATTTATGAGTATCATGGCGTATACAGATTAAAATAGTTAATTTAACTTGAAAAATTAAGCATGTTAATTATTGTTAATAGATGACTTAAAAGATTTGAAGGGTGCCGGAAAATTAAATTAAGAGCAAATAGCAATCTTGGGTTAATTATACCACAAGCTGAATTTAAATATAGAAACAAGTTTTTAGGATTAACGAGATTGATTTTCAAAGGAATGGGATTATGTTTTAGAACTAGTTATAATGACGGATTCTTAATTTTATGCTAAATCTTAATTTCAACCTGAAGTGATCTGAGGATAAAGGGCCTGGGTTCGGACTTCCACAAACAAGAAACCAGATGAGAGAGATAGGGAGATCCTATTCCTGGTCACATATTTTTGTATATATAGTTTGATTTTCAGAAGTGAATATCTGGAGATCAGTTGGAAGAAAGCAAAAGCAAAAGCAAAGAGCAATGAGCAATGAATAATGAATAATGATGAATGATGAATGATATATACAGATGAAACGGCAGAAACTAACCTGATATGGGCCATGCACTAAGTTGAGGTTCCGCATATCTGTGCAGGCAAGCTTCACAAAGAACTGCCCCAGTAACGAGGACGGTTGATAGCTTCTCCTCTCCATATCCAGCCATTTGCACCATCTCCTCTCTGCTTGACAACTCGTATAATATTGGCTTCTTAATCTCTTCTAATTCTGCCATTAATGAAGTCTGCTGAATGAACAGCAAGAATATGATGATGATCATCGTCCCAAGTCTTTTGCAGTCGCAAAAGTTGCTCATCATCTCTTATTAATTTGATCTGCTTTTCTTTCTCAGTATTTCAGGGCCATTAGAGATTAAAAAGAGAGCTCAATTGCGGTTTTATAATAATAATAAGAATAATAATAATAATAATAATAAAAGTTAAAAATAAGGTTGTCCAAAGCGCCAACAATCCAATTTTTTTACGGCCCTACCCTTATTGTTGACCTACAACTAACTACAATAGGATGGTTTTATCAAAAAAAAAAAAAACTAAAAGAGGTATGGGTTTTACCACGCCTTTTCCTTGGACGGTAGTCTCTACATAAATAATATAGTTTCTACCGTCTAAACTGTCCATATGCTCTCGAAATATATATTATTTTGATCAAATTTCACTGATATATATTAACAATGCACCTTAAACTATATATTATATCCATATAAACTGCAAAGTATGGATTAGGAGATTGAAAAAAGTAAACAATGGCTACTCAATTAAGTTAATATATACAGTTCAAAAACCTTGTTTACAAAGATATATATATGTATATTAGTAGTAGTGGGATAAAATCACATGTAATTATTTTACTACTATAAATCAATCACAATTTAAAATTATGTTAATCATTTATCTAAAATTTTTATGAAACTTATATTTATAAATAATGAATTCTTATATAATTTTTTATTATATTGAACAATATAAAATTTTAATAATTAAAAAGAATTACAAGTGACGTACTTTTTTAATATATATATATACAAATATGTACATAATAACGATGTGTTTAATTTGGATTATTATTTATAAGGGTGGCTTTGGTCACATAAAAAACATGTAGGCAAAACAAACGTCAGAGTTAGAGACGTATATATTGGATTTGGAGCAAAAGGCGCACAGATCAACTGAAAAGTTGGTAGGGGGACGCAAGGAAGTTAAAATGTTGGTTGGTTGCCTACTCTTATTTTCTACGTGTTCTTTTTTTATTATTTATTATTTTTTTATGAAACAATCCACGTATTCTTTATTTTTTAAAAAAAGTGTTTTAAGCAGCAAATTAAACGATGGAACGGAACATCCATTTATCAAAACTTTTAATCAAAACTTATTATATATGGTATAAAAAAAGCTAGCTATTGGCCATGAAGAACAAGCCCCCTCCCACCATAATTACCATCCATATTTTGAAGCCTGCATGCCCCAACTATACATATATATCCCCCATCTACATTTTGCACTCCTATATATATCAACTTTATAAGTTAGTTTGTGGATGCTTATCTGTTAATTTGTTCTAATTTTATATATGTCCAAATTTCGGTACAACACGAAATCATGAAAAGTGGGTAGCTGGGTTAAACTGGAAATATTGGAGTTGATAACCTGACATATGACCTGCAAAAGAGAAAGATTGGCTGTCAATTTTCAATGGAGTTGATAACTGAACTCCTAACAGAGTCTAACACTCAGTTTCAATCACAATGAAGCGTCCATGATAATTTCTGGAAAACAAAATGAAATGAATCGTTCTTAAATTAAAGGAAAATCTTGCTTCAATTCTTCTACATAATATTATATCACAAAATAAAAAAAAAAAAACATAATATGCAAGTATCTTTTTATCAAATTCCATAAAATAGACTAAAACTTATTACAGCTTTGCTTCAAAAGAAGCAACACTACATTTTGAAGAATGAATCATTCATTTAGCTGGCTGTGTAGCAGGAGGGAAAAAGCAGAAGAGGAAATTATTAAGAATCTTTAATCAATGCTGGCTGACTGACAGATACATAGCAGCATTAATGTGCCGGTATAAGTCAAAAGAATTTATTTATATATTTTACAAGTTGATTCCTTGCTGCCCATTGAGGTCACGCATGTTGAAGTACATGTAGCTCTTTTCATCCGAGAATACTGATGAGGTAAGCACTGGAGAAAACCCAGAATAGTTTCTATCTTTCTTTGCTAAGCATATGTCAACAATGTATTTTGAGAACTCATATTTCTGGACAAATGGCTGCGCTGCATATTCTTCAAATGGCATCCACTGCAGAAAATTAGAAATAACCATGTGAGGTTTCATCAAATGCTCTGTTTACCTGTATAATCCATCACACTTTTCTAAACTCTATTGATAGTTTTTGAAGTTGCAAAATTGCATACCCAAGGAAATTATAAAAACAAACCTAAAGCAGTAGAGATGAACCGCACAAACTTAATTACAACTGTACTCTAATAACTTTTTTTTAATTAATTTGTTAAGGGGAAAAAGAAAAAAACTTTTTAGTTTTAACTTCATTGCTCTCACTTTGACTGCTAATTACCTTGGCTGCCTCTATCTCAGATTCCTGCTTCTGGATTTCAAAGGAAAGTGGTTCCAAGAGGCACATGAAGAATATATCAGACTTTTCAAAGAATGACTTGTGGCTTTGTCTGTAAATAATGGAAGCAAAGGGAGAGAATCAAGAATCACTTGTTACCAAGAAAAAGAAAAAAAAAATCATTTACTTGGATGATAGGAGTCAGGTTTTCAATTGATCTCCAATAGTCTGTCAGGATTTGGGAGTAATATCCAATTATAGAAATGCATCAAGTTACTGTGTGGTGTAGAAAATGCATGTTGTTTACTTATGCTCCTTAAGAGTATTATTACACACATATAAGAGACATGATTTCCCTAGATACCTTGGTGAAGCATTCATGTCATAAAAGAAGAAACTACCCAAGTATAATCTAGAAAGGTCAACTTCAACCTAAACTGGAAGACCACATTCTTGTGTTTTGGTTTTAAGTAGGCAATGCTTACACAGATTTCATACCTGAATGCCAGTACTTCAACAAATTTTGTATCAACCTGAATTAGAAAAAGACTCAAGATATTATAAACATAATAAACCTTCTCAAATTGATAAGGTGCAATAACTTGTCATACATGTTTATATAAATTGAATAATTGTTACTTACTGCTGTCTCTTCTTTGACTTCTCTAACTGCAGCTGTGCAGATATCTTCTCCCTGGGGATAAAATAGGTCAAGAAGAGTAAATACATGCAATGGTATTATATCAAGAATATCCTGATACACATACCTCATTTACAACTCCAGTAGGGAACTTCCACACACCTGTACCCCGAAATCGTCCGGTGTTCTCTTGAACCACTAAAACCTAGGATCAAGATATGCAAACCCAAAAATTTGAGAATAATAACCGTAAGTCAAGTCCAACAGCAGTATGGATAATACAGCTTTTTCTTAATAAGCACATATAAGAGAGAGAGTGAGTGAGCATTCAAGAAAGAATTAGTAGCGGTTGCAGCATTAAAATTAGTTAAGCACTGAATGTAGTGATAGATAGTACAGAAGGGGGTGGGGAATCCAGCCGCTAATTCCAGATATTTGAGAAACTAGAGGTGTCAAGGAGAGGCTAGGGATGCCTTTTCCCCTCTCTTCAACGTATATTATGCAGGAAAACTTGCACGCTGGTTTGAGCATATATAAAACCATCTTCAAAATGAAAGAACAAGGGGATCATCCTGATCCATATATGATCCACATCTAAAATTGTGGTTATTCAACAAATGGACAAATCTTTAGCTCAGAAATGTGCAGGAGATGAAGTAAACCAAGTGGAGAAGCTAAAAACTGCTAAAAGGATATGAGGAACAACAAAGATCTTCAAACCAAGAATAAATAACAATGTATGAATTGAACCATACAAACAATATTATAGTTCTACAATTTGTAAATCCATCGGTACTTCGTTGCCATCTATACAGTAATTAATTACCCAACCACTAATATATATAAAAGTAAGAAAGGAGCTTTTGTTATTATTATTGTTCATAAGGCAAGATTAGCACAATTCTGGAGCACACTGCTTCAATAAGTTAATGGTATCTAACTCTTTTTCCCTTCTAAAGCAGACTGTTGGTATAAGCAGTGAACCACTAAATGAAAATCCTTGACATTAAAAAGTATTGTGCAATCAAAACTACGTTAAATTGTTGGAGAGCTTTCATCCCGGTATAAAAGAATACAAATAGAAATTAGTCACAATGAAATATCTTATGCAAATTGGCTATGGATGGAGGTCATAATTAAAATGACAAGCTATATGGAACTGGGGAAATACCTCTCTTTTTTCATTCATGACAAATGCGCCAACACCCACCCGATGCGAGGCATTTGCTGGAAGAGTGTTTGTACCTTCAGGAATCCAATAAGCAAGCATCAAGTAATTTGGCTCAGCATGGTGATACCAAAATCCTTCCTGTGCAGCAATACAGTATTAACAGAAGATATTTCAGGGATGAATGAAAGAAACAATAAAAGTGTCAGCTATCAAGTTAGCATTCAACAGAGCCTTCCAGAAATCATCTCGATTAGGTTCTAAATGACAATTAATCACCTTGACAGCAACTTCAACAAGATTGACGTGCTGAATAGGCAATTTGATCCACACACCCTTTTTACCCTGCAAAACATGCATAATTTAACAGAAACAGAGAAGAGTGTAAGAGATAAGAGCGCACATGCTAAGAAACCGTCCTTATATGCCTACAAAGCAGAAACTTTCAAGTTGTAGGAATGATGGAGTGATTTTGCAGAAGGGACAAATCAGAACGTAAAACAAAAGATGATAATGAATGGAGTATGTCATTTCATTATAAGCACGCAACGATGATAAATGCGGAGTTGACCTACTAAGAAGAATGAAGGAAAGGACCAAGGAGACTCGCAATGCCAAAAATTAGCGTAATAGTATAAAGAAAGGCATGAGGTAAGTGCTATTGCAGACAACTTTTGTGTGGGCGGGGGGTAATGGCAGTAGCTTCAAACTAGGTAGTATGGCTATGAATATGAATGAGATTGAGAGAATAACAAAGGTAAGAAGAAAACCTGGTGCCGCCACTGTGCAATTGAAGCACTAAGAATTGAAGCAAAGAGGGCAGAGTCCATAGGTTCACTCACTTCAACAATTACTCCTCCATACCTATCATTGACTGCATTAAGTGGTTTAAACTGTTGAACTAATTGTTCACCATTTTCATTTACAGGCGTTGAATTCACTGATGCCGACATGGCTCTGAATCCGGTTCTGGTTCTATACCTAGCTGCAAAATATTCCGTATCTACAAACAAACATGTAGTAATTGTTGTAATACAGTAACCATTAAGATGCAAATCCAAAATAAGACAAGTAGTACTAGTAATTGGTGAAAAGTTTGACAAGTAGTTATAAAGTTTGGTTTTTAGTTTTAACCCAAAACAAAAAGCTTTATTAGTTGTATTGAACTGATATTAGCCATTGGGGTGGGTGCCTCGCCTCGTACACAAACGCACATATATACATACCTGTGGAAGTTGAAGAAAGCTGAAGTGCAGGAGGCGAAGTGGGGATGTTGTTGTTTGGGGAAAATCGAAATCCCAACAAACAACGAATATTTCCGCTTGTGACGGTAAAACCAAGCAATGCTGCAGGCCTTCTCATTCTCAGTTTAATTATTTATACTAATGGCATTTAGTAAAAATAATTATACATACAACCAAATAATAAAATACTAGTGGTCGTCTGTTGTTTAGGTTGAGTTGATCCACCGTGTATAAAACTTTGACTTTGACTTTGAATTGAATCCAACACGTTAGCAGTGTTGAATAAGTCATTAACACGGAACAGGCACGCTATTATTTTATCAACATAATATTAATCAACCAACCCAAGAAGACGATACATACTATACACATATGTATATACGGTAATAACCAACGTACTCCACTGATCATAATAATTAAAATAATGTTCTTAATTATTATACTAATCTAATCTATTCGTTTATTTCCAATAGCACAGCCACGTGCACCACAAACTCAGGATTGGACCAGCAAGCAAGTGAAGCTGAAGTTGAGTGGATGACACGACAAAGCCCTAAATATCCACTAACCATTGGTAAACTGACCCAACCCATACCCAAATGCAAACCCCAATCCATGCCCGCCTTTTTTATTTCATTTTACCCTATTTACTTCCACTTATTTACTAATCACATTTCACCCTTGCTTCAAACCCAAGCCCAAGCCCAACCTCACTCCATGCCGCACTTTTTTTCTAAAATAAAAATTAAAAAAATTACTACTCAACTACTGGTAGTAATAATTTGTAGGAATTACTAGTAGTAATTTTTTATCCTTTTTACCGTGAATAATAGATGGAGCTTTTCAACGGCGGCCGGGAGGCGTTTCCTCAACACGTGGCGCCATTCCCTGATGCAACGGCTATAATTGAAACTGCGGAGGATTCAATGACGTGGGATCACCGTCCAAATCTGCCTCTGCAAAAGCTAAGGCCTATCAGGTACAACATGAGGTCCCCGGCGATCTCAAAGGCGGAGGATCCCTTGGAGTTCACGGAGGCAGTTGAACTTGTGGGTGATAAGGTGTGTGCGGTAAACGGAGATTGCTGTGAGTGCTTGGAACCTCCTATTAAAGCAGAAGTTGGTGACGTGTTGTATACTGGCGGCGGCGAGGAAGAGGGGCCGCCAAGCTCGGAGCAGGGAGGGGAGCCTTCTGGGTATGTATGTTTATTTCTCCTGTTTCCACTCCATGACCTTATTTTTGGTTTTTTTTTTTTTAACTATTGACTTTATTGTATGTATGTAGTACGCCTACCATCTAAGAAAATTCTAATATTTAGGTCTAAAAGACCCAAACAAAAATAAAAATTTAATAATCATCCAAGCTCTTATCATTTTATTGCAATCAATTAATTCTTCAATATCTCTTTTTATCAATTGAGCTATTATTCGAGGAAATTTGGCTAACCATCAACATCAATTTTCATCTAATCAAGGGCTTAATTGAGGTAAAAATAGATGTTTAAAGGCTCTGAAATAGAAATTTCAAGCTTAGTTGGTTGCAATAAAATTTCAAGATCTTAAATGATTATTGAAGTTTTATTCAAGAGTTTTTCTTTTTTCTTTTTTTTTAATTTTTATATATCCTATCCAGTGCAGCATTGAGTATCCTTCCGTCCATCCATTGATAAACAAAAAATTAATATACTAGCGCTACTGATTAGATGAGGTAGATTTGTTTTTATTAATTTTGAAATACTAGTAAATATTACTCCAAATACTAGTTCTTAGGTGCATCTACTAGTATCTGTTTTGGTATCCTACTATGTTAACATTATCTAGGACTAGGACAACTTCTTCCGCTAATGTATATGACTGACAGCCCTGTTACGCTGGCTACTACTTTCTTTTTATTTGAGTATTTTCTTCTTCATACCAATACGTTTTCCTGGAAAAGCTGTTTTCTTTTTTTATGCAAATGTTTGGAACAAAGTATCTAATAATAATAATAAGTTAATAACTTGGAGTATAACTAATGTAAGTTCATTTGTTGAGATATTGACATTTCTTTTCTTTTCTTTTCTTCCATTTCAACTGGGCAGCTATCACTTCAGGTGGATCTTCTTCTTCTTTTTTTTCCTTGGCCAAAAACATAATTCAACATATATATCAAATAAATTATCAGTTCAACTCAAACCTTTAACCTGTTGGGTTGGATGTACATGTGAATGGTTATAGCCTTTACTTTTACTGAATCACATGGGAACAGGAATATTCAATTGTAAGCATCAACTGTTTGACGTTTTATGTACGATACCGAGTCTTCTCATGTCCAACTTCCTAGTTTGTAATGTTGGTACAGTTAGTTGGGGTTTTGCCAATTCAAGGGTGCAGAATGGTATTGGTCCGCTTGTCCTAAGATGACTTGATCTTTTTATTAACTTCAATGATCTTACTTTAAAACTATTATTATGACTAACTTTACAAGCCAATTAATCTATTGTCATCACTTGCTGTTTTATGGAAGATGCTTGCTTGAGTGCTTTCTTCAAGTCTTGCTTTTTGTGGTACTGCATGGCATTATTGTTCAACTTTGTGAATGTGCATTTCAGAATTTTGTGTGAAGATCTAATAAAACTTTGTAAAAGGTTAAAACTTGATCAAATTTATGGTATTGATATTTCAGATAGTTTGAAGCCTATTTTAGCAAATTCATGACCATAGCTTTTAATCCAACTGAATGTCTTGTGATATGTCCCTTGTTTCATCAGCTCATCTTCAGATAGTGATGATAATGATTCGTCAGCAACTGTGAACGAACCTCTGAATAAGAAGAGGAAGCGAAAAAGAAGGAAAAAGATCGAACTTTTCCTGGAAAAATTGGTCATGAAAGTGATGGATAAGCAGGAACAGATGCATAAGCAGTTGATAGAGATGATTGAGAAGAGGGAAAGGGAGAGAATAATTAGAGAGGAGGCATGGAAACAGCAGGAGATGGAAAGGATAAAAAGGGATGAGGAGGCAAGAGCTCAAGAGACTTCTCGTAGCTTAGCTCTCATTTCCTTTATCCAGAATGCTTTGGGCCATGAAACTGAAATACCCATGCAATCAACAATGTCATGTATGGAGGAAAATGGAGGGGAAGACATTAGTGAATATCACATTCAAAAGGACATGATTAATCCATTTGAACCAATAAAAAGATGGCCAGAAGGGAAAATGCAAGTTAATGGGGGTGAAAATCATGTTGATAAAGAAATTGGCATCAACTGTGATCCAAATAATAGGAGATGGCCAGATGCAGAAGTGCAAGCCCTGATAATGCTTCGAAGCGCTTTGGAACATAAATTTCCTGTTACGGGCCACAAGTGCTCTATATGGGATGAGATATCTGTTGGGATGTATAATATGGGCTACTGTCGAAGTGCAAAGAAGTGTAAAGAGAAATGGGAAAATATCAATAAATACTTCAGAAAGTCTATGGGAAGTGGTAAGAAGCATATGGAAAATAGCAAGAGATGCGCATATTTTCATGATTTGCACATGCTGTACAAGAACGGACTTGGTAGTCCAGCAAACCATGTGAACTGTGCCAAAGTTGGGAATGAAGAAAATGTTGAAAGCATGAAAGGTAGTGAATGTTAATAAATTAGGCTTGGTTTTAGCTTTTAAGGATGGCTTGGCTGTGACTGCAGGAACCTTGAAGCATGAAAAGTAGAAAAGAGATACACTAGGATTGGTTTTAAGGATTCTTGTGAGTGCAGAGGCCTCAAAGCGGATTATGAGATGTGAATGTGGTAGGCACCTGATATTATTGTTGGACTTTTGAATCTATTTCTATGTCCATTTTTTACGGTTGTGGAAAACTTTCCTGGGTCATTTAATTATAACCTCATCTTCTGTTAATTGTTTTCTGTCTAAGAAAGAGAGGTTATGCAATTTTAGCTGGTTGTTAGACCCAAAGCATCTAGCCGAAGATATATGGAACGCCGTGTTTGATTTACAATTTACATCTTTTTTCCTTCTTAGTCGATTATTACCCTCATCTTGTCTGTTTTCTTTTTTAAATAAAAAACATATATTAAATTCAGAAAAAAAAAATCTGAAAGAACAAGATGATTCGTTGTTTCTTTTGGATGACCACTTATTTATCGACAGTCTTCTCTCCTCAAAGAAGTCAACAAGATTGCATTTCAGGCCTTGTAGTTTGTTACATTCCTCGTGAAACAGCAGCAGAGCCAGAATCCGATACTGTTTTTCGGGTATCCTGCTGCAGATTGTTTCTCTTTCTGTACGAACAATGAGCCTCGCTTTTCTTCAATTTGTTTATTTGGTTTTTTTTTTTTTTTTTAAATATCACGTAACATGATAGGATTAATCGTCCAGTCAATATTACAAAGATGCAAGATGTCCGTTGTATTCTGTAGAAAGCAACAATATGCATGGTTGACGTACAGATAAACTGAAATGTTATTCGAATTCATAAGGCAGTAGCAATTAATTTCTAATGAACAACCAAAATGGAAAAAGCTGTGTATCGGCGGTTAATATTTCGACCACAGCATTGTCATCGGATACAAATGAATAGAAGAAGAAACATCATCATTTGGAGGCATCAGTGAGGTAGATGAAAATGGCAACCAACACCAAAGCGATGATGAAGAGAATGTAAACAGGAGGAGGTTGCAATGGTCCCATTCCTAACGGACCCAAAAAACACAACAGCGTACGTCCACCACAGCATCATGGCTATCGAACCAATGCCGCACCCTTACTCTTCCATCTTGACTCTATATATATATATATATATGTTAAGAGTACGTATAACTATATATTCGTACAGAAGAAGGGAGCTAATGGAACCAAGACACAGGCAGAGGAGAAACAATGAGATAGGCAACAAACCGACGGCATTACAGCCTGATCAATTCAATGGTTTTTTCTTTCTCTTTTTTTTTTTTTTCTTTTTCTCTTCGATTTTTCATTTCAAAGATGTACTTTTGGGAGGGATTAAATGAAAACAGACTAGTTTCTAATTCCACTGACAACTGATATCACCATATGTTTTTCTTATACTATGATGCTCCACCTCGACCATCATCACATTCAAATGATTATTAATTACCAATTGATCAACTGATCAAATTTAAGCAGCGAGATTGATGAGCCGCACCTAGGACTACAAGTTTGGTTAGCGGATTTATTCAAAATGGCCGGCAGCTGCACGCTCGACTCTGCTCCTCACGCTCGAAATCTCTAGACTGTAGTCACTCCTCACAAAAAAAAAAAAAAAGTAATACATTGTACGCATCCCCTGCCACGTGGTTTTACCTTTTCAGCACTATAAATGTTGACACTTGCCAAGTGCTATCCTTCGTATCCTCTTAATTACAGTTGCTATAAAGACCGCAAGTTTACTCTAAAAATTGTCTGCGCGCAACAGAGGATCCAGCAAGGTGGAGATTAAGGAAGAAGAAAAAGATGGAACGTGGAGGCTTCCATGGCTACAGAAAGCTGATTCCCGATTATACCTCTGGTAAAGTATAACATGTATATACACACACACACACACACACAAAAAGCTTGACAAAATGGTGAAAAATTACTGCTGAACGCTGACTCTTCTTGCATGTTTTTTTATTTTATCAGCATGGTGTGCAATGTATCTTTATAACGTATTCTTTTGAGATTATTCTACCCCTCATTCATGTTTCCTCTTCTCTGGTAGTTTAGGAAGAACCTTTAAGTTCTCTAAAGCAAGCAAATGAAAATTTAGTTCCGGTCTTTAGATTTGCCAATCAGAATTAACTCTTTTAATGCTCAGATATATCATTCAATATTTGCATATGGTCTCTCTTGATCAGCTTTCCTTTTTGTTGTTATTACACCATAGACTTTGGCCTACCTTTCTCATGATATCCTGAGAGAATGCCAATCCTTGCCCGTTACTCCAATCTTTGAAATTTTCTCCGACTTCTTCTGCCATTAATTTTCAGTGGTATCAGTATCATCGATCGGGTTGCATGCCACTGCTTGATTTTCTGTTTGGAAACTAAAGCTTTTTCTTATTTGATTTATTTCCATTTTGACATGCGCACAGTACTTTCTTTCTGTTCTCGATCCCTCTGTTTTTCCCACGCATTCAATTAATATATATATATATATATGTGTGTGTGTGTGTGTATACTGGTCAAAGTTAAGTTTTGTGCACCTGATGTGCAAGCTACTTACGTATTAGTTGAAGTTGAATTAGTGTTGGTACAAGTTCACCATTGTTGAATCCTTTCCTTCTTCCTTCGTCCTCCGGTGTACAAAAAGTTCGTGCTCCATTTAGTAGTGTGCTTTAGACCTTAGTGTTTTGGTCATTGGCGGTCAAGACTGAAGCTGATGGTTAATTACCGAAATGGCTGACGAAATTGAAGGCACAAGCACGTGTACAAGACTACAAGTGGCATGCAATACTTGACCCCACAAAACAAGTGGCACCCATGCATTTTCTGGCATCAGGATTCGGATCCCCGCGGTTTCTTGTATTCACACACTATTCTAACGTCCGTCTCTCTTGTCTTAACAAATGAATAAAGCAAGCAAGACTGGTTCAAAATTTGGAAAGTTTTCATACTTTTCAACTTAAGCGAATTGTAAACGGGCCTTTTGGGCGCGTGTAACCACTGTGAATATAAGACCAAGACAAGAATACAAATATCCTTTTTAAATACAAAACTAAACATTGGATTGGTCGTGTCATGTCGAGTCATTTTGTTTATATTTATTATACCTAGCTAGCTAGTCACTTAGGTCGTTTGTGGGTCGCGCTAGTTAACGCTTTGAGCAAGGCTTCCGCGCTTCCAACTGCATTTTTGTTGTCCTTGCCTTCTCTATCTATACGTATGTCGTGTTCCTAATCGTAGCCTTCTACGCGGAGAAAAAGGGTCCAATACCTAACCAAAAATTAAACTCAGTGGGTCGGCTCATGTCACGTGGTTGCGAAGAACAGGTCAGTTTCATCCTAGCTCTCGCCTTGTCTTCGCGTGGCTTCTGTTGTGTTCATTCAAGTTTTACATATTTTTCTGTCCCAAAAATTAAAAAAAAAAATCCATAAACCCATTGCCTAATATTCGCCCATAGTCCCATATCAAACAGTAACCTGTTTTTGCGCTTACGTTGCAACAAATTCGACTTTTAGCAACATTTTTTTTTTCAACTTATATGCTTGTATTAAATATCGTTTTAGAAACATCTTTTTTTATACCTTAACTAGCAGCCCTTTTCCCGTTTCTATTTGTATACTTGGCTACATCACAGTGTAAATATTTTTAGCAACATTTTGGATAGAAATGTAACTAAAAAGAATTGCATTCGCTAACAGAAGATTGTACTTCTCTATAACTGCAAAATGTGAAAAATAAAAACAAAAAGCACAAGAAAAAAATCTAAATAATAGTAGCATATATTAAGTTTTACCGCTTAAAAAATTTTGCCTTTAGTGTTTTATGTCTTCGAAATAAGTTAATATCATTTTTTAGTTACTCCAGGATTGAAGGTGCCAGAGATCAACATTAGAATGGCTGAAGCCAACCATACAATCAACCACTCAAACTCTGATGAAAATGAGTGCATTGTGAGAGAACAAGACCGCTTCATGCCAATTGCAAATGTTATCAGGATAATGCGCAAGATCCTCCCTCCACACGCCAAAATCTCCGACGACGCTAAGGAAACAATCCAAGAATGTGTGTCGGAGTACATCAGCTTCATCACTGGCGAAGCCAATGAGCGCTGCCAACGTGAGCAACGCAAGACTATCACTGCTGAGGATGTGCTGTGGGCAATGAGCAAGCTAGGGTTTGATGACTACATCAAACCTTTGACAGTTTACCTCCACCGCCACCGCGAACTGGAGGGTGAACGCGGTTCAATCAGAGGTGAGTCACTGATGAAGAGAGCAGTTAATTATGGAGCTTTAGGTGTTTCTGCTTTTGCACCTGCCTTTCACATGGGGCATCACCATGGGTTCTTTGGGGGTGGAGCCACAGGAGGATATCTCAAGGGTGCATCCAATGCAGGCTCTTCACAGGCTGCAGTGGCAAATGGGGAACCGTATGACCAGCATAAATGAGGGTACAGCAATAATAAGGATTAGTAAGGAATGTTTGCTGGGCAAACCGTGTGACACTAATTAACTCAGTGAAATTTTTTTTTTTTTTTTAATGTTGACTTGCAGCTGTTGCGGAAACACACCTGCAGCGAACTCAGCTTCATTTGCAAAATTAAGGTGTTTTTATGCTTAGACTACAATTTATATGATCAATTAATATTCTCTTTAAAACTTTTCTATTAATTCTTAACTAGCTTTATATATATTACAATATTACCGTCCAATTCCCTGATCTTCTTCTTAATTAATTGTGAATTGAAGTAGAGAAGCTGCCATATATATATATATATATATTTGAAAAAGGGGACAGATGCATATATGTATCTATTGTTTGCTAAAAATGAATAAAAAAAGATAAATTAAAAAAAAAATTACAAAAGCATCATCTAAGTGGAAATCTCAATAATAAATAATAAGTTAATTATGAAGTTATACAATATATATATATATATTTGAAAATATAGTATATAGATTTTATTTATTCATATAATATATAATTTTTAAGTATACACAAATGAATATAAAATAAAAATATGGTACCTAATTGTTAATTTATAATTTTACATATAGGAAATTAAGACAAATAACATATCTATATACATCCCTAATTTATGGATTTAATTAATTGTTAATTTATAAGAAAGCAGGTGTTTGGTATTGGATTTTTGAATAGTTAAAGATTATGAAGCCTTGGTACGTAGTGTAGGAAGCAAGCATTGAATTTAAATATTTTAAGAAATAAAAATGTTTAAGAAAACGAATGTATAACTTTTTTTTTTTTTTTTACAAAATGACTACAACATGTGAATAAACGAAGGAATTATATATACTAGCTAGATTTATACTCTCAAATATAATAAATGTCATATCTTAAAAATGATTATATAAATTAATTAAATTAAACTCTAAATTTAAATGTGTGTATAATTTTATAAGATGTATACACTATATGATATACTACACTATACTATTAGTTACTATATAGGCATCATCAATTAAATTAATTACTATATAGGCATCATCAATTAAATTGATTTCAAACTTTGATCTCAACTCCCCCGGCCCCCCTTTTTTTCACTTAAGTGGTATTTATTGTAAAAATTTTAAAAAGCTCATGACAAGGATGTAAGATGTTTTCTGCTCATATTTTGTGGAAGTGATTTATATATAGCAGCTGTGAATTGGCTTGTGTGATACTAAATCATTTTAATTAAATGTTGTGTAACTTTTTAATTATAAATTTAGATAAATTGATATGTTGTTGGAATTAATATTTGAAGATTATAAATTTAAAAGAATTTATACGTATAATATTTTATTCAATTAAATAAATAACATGATAAAAAAAGTTTAATGGTACATTAAAAATTTTAAAAATTACATAAATAAAATTAATATTTAATTAATAATTAAACATGTTCATTCTATCGTTTTGACACAACATTTAAATACTTAGTGGTTTTGTGTTTACATATAAGGTTAGAGTAGTAGTGATAGTATGATGGGATATACATATACATATATAATATGTTATATATATAAATTAATGATTGAAAACATAATGTTAAAAATGTTTATAAATTAATGCATTTTATTAATACATAAAAATAAATACTTAATTATTATTTTTAATTTCAAATAAATAGATAAATATACGTCATTGGTTTTAAGGTGAAGGAATTAATTAGTTTGCTAATTTTTCACTAAAAAAAAAAAAACTTGTAATTGAACAAATTAATTAGTAGGTATCAAAATGCAAAAGCGATTTAAATGTTTTTACATCATATTTATTTTATGTCAGTTTTATTGTTTGCTCTACTACTAACTAAGTTAAGAGCATATTAGTTTTAAAATTTATTAACTGAATGACTGTATTTTATTAGTAATAATTACTTTTGGCGTTGGTTGTTTGGAAATTTACTAAGTTTGAGAGGAGGCATTTGGAACATTTTTTCAATATATATATATATATATATATATATATATATACACACAAACTCCTATGTTGTCTGAAAAGAGTAACCTTCCCGATGAAACCACACGTGACTGATTGATCCAAGCAAAAATGACGGGGAGTAGTTGTTTGAGTGCGTCACGACTCAGGACTCATTAGCTCAGTTGAGTTGGGTCGAGTTTTTCGTTTTTGTTCCTTTCCTACCATCCTTATGGTCCATGCCTGCCACATGCCAGTTCCTGCACAACACAGGTCAGCCCGCGGCTTAAAAAATCTAAACCTCCTTAAAATATCTTACCACGTCATCATTTTTCTTCATTCTTACTATTATATATTTATTTGATACTCATTTCTTCTTTTTTATTGAATTCATACCCACTTAATTTCTTCTACTTTCATTGCCGTCCAACATTTCTTTTTTTTGGCAAACAAACCTTTTTCGACCCCCCCCCCCCCGCAGAATTAACCTCTCCTATTTTTGTAACTCGCAAGTGTAATTGTTTTTGAATGGAAGAGTTTGAAGAAAAATAATTTTATATAGTACTGGATGATATCAATTATAGGTAAAGAATTAATCATTTGATAATTATATTGTGCCAAAGTTTTACTTGGAATTTAATATACAAATAATATTTCAAATCTAAAATACATGGTAAGTTTTCAAAGTCTCTATTTAAAAATTATTGTATATCGACAAACTAGATTCACGTTTCCATGTATCCATGTGTATTACGTAAATGTAAAATTAGAGAGGTAGAATGGTAAATGAAATAAAAAGAAAGGACTAGGGAGTGAAATAAACTCGAAAGAAAGGAAATAAAAAATTCAAAGGATAGGAGCGGAGCACATAGAAAACGAGAGAAGATGGAGTCAGCATTTGGGGGGAATTTAAGTTGCATTTAGAGCTCATTTGGGGTCCGTGTTCGAATCGAAAGACCACAACCCCACCCCCAGAAAAGAAACGAAACCCAGAACCAGGAAAACCAAAGTCCAAACAGCCAAAACCCCTTTTCTTTTTCCTTCTCTCTTTCTTATCGAGTGAGCGAGTCCATGAGCTGAGCGAGCGAATTGCCTTGTGAATAGAAAATAGGAATAGGAATGGCACAGAAGGTGGAACAGCAGCTCAAGGAGGTGGGATCCAAGCTGGAGTCTCCTCCCGCCACCAAGGACGCTCTTCTCAAGCTCTTAAAGGCACGCATTCTTCCTAATTTCTTCCTTTTTTCTTTTACGGGTAATTTAGGCTTTTCTTTTTCGTTCTTAACAAAAGAAAAAAAAAATACTACTACACTGCATATTTTCCATTAGTCGTCTCTGTTTAACATGCTCGCCTGGAGAGCTACGGAAAGTAGAGAAAACGAATTAAACCTCAACTGCCCTTTTCTTCGTGGAGTTCTGTTTGGCCTTCAATTTAATTACTTAATTCGACTGAGCTTCCTAGTTCCCCTAGGGTTAATTTAAACTAAGCGTTTTCTTTCCCTAGTATTTTAGGTTTTAAGGGTGCTTTCACGAATTAGCTTTCTCAGAGGAAGTTTGTTTGTAATTGGTTGCGAGTTTCAACAAATTTGGTTGAATTATGGTTATTTCTACAATTCACGAGGTTTCATCTGAGTTACATGTTTTCCACTTAATTGAAGCTAACTTGAGTTTTCTACTTGTATTTCATGTGCTTATTTGCTATATGATATATTATATATTTTGGGCAGCCGTTTTTTGATTAAATTCAAGCTATTGGTAATCGGATTAGGATGAAGTTGTTTTGTCTCCAAACATGTTATGGTTCTCCTAGGTAGTGAATCAGGGCCTAAATCAGCAGCAATGTGCTATGCCTGGAGACCTGGACTGTGTTTGACTTTTTGCTCTTCAAGTTGGAATCTGAATTGTGCACCATAACATGCGCAACAAATGTAATAACAGAGCCCTAAAATGTTACCCATGCACGAAGATAATAGATAACCTGTTCCACACTTCAAGAACATCAGTATGCCACAAATCTTTGGTTTTGGGTTCCCTTTCATGGATTACACCCCCTCGTTTTCCATAACAGGTTTTGTACCCTATGGGTCTGGTCTTAGTTTGGAATTGCTATTGTGGTTTGAGAAGGGCGTTAAGGGGTATTGTGGTGCACATAATCAATCTTTAAAAGAATTCAACCTAATTCAGAATTAGTTGGGATTGGCTACTCTAATCAACTTTCTCCATTCTGTTAGATTGAGGTTTATATCCTTACAATTCTCTGTAGAAGCTAACTAATTTTTAATGATGTCAACCCATGTAAAATTTTGTTTTACCGTCCCTCCCTCTTTCCCTTTTTTCTACTTACGTTGAATTACTTTTTCATAATGGAGTGCCCATTGCTCTACTTTGCTTATGACTAAACAATCAATTTGTCCTTCCTTTCATTTATGAATGATTGATTAAGTTTCCTTTGATAAAACAAATGCCTGACAATGAAGTAGTTAGGTTACTCAAAGCATTGGCAAATAACTATTAAAGGATTTCTCAACTTAACCGAACATAGGGCAGAGTGATTTTATTGAATATGAATTGGTTTTATTTTTGTAGTGCATGCTGGCAGGTGCTTGAGATCTCTAATGGTGAACCTATTATTTTGTTAATGAGATGAAAAGGCATCTTGTTTTGTGTGAAAGTAATGGTAGTTCTTTTATGTTTGTTGACTCAAATTTACTGGTGATTAAATGGAAAATGAATATATTTTCATCCTTGAGTTTGTTTGGACCATGGGTTCTGCATTTGATTTTTCCAAAACTTTTTTAAAGGCATGACTATGATAGCGGCTAAACATGTATTGGTATGTAACGATGTTGTAAAGAAACCAGTACCTGTGCTTACTGAGGAGTATGTAGAAATAGAGTTTATCTTTAGTTTGAAGTCTATTATAAATAAAAATGAATCTTATTGGACTGCTCAATTTAATATTTTAGGCTATTATGGCTGATAGATTACCTTTTGCTGTTACCTAAAAACTGCACAAGTTCTTCCATCATTCTTTTTTCTTTTTCCTCTTTCATTGGGAGGTTGGGTATGTTAAAAACCCTATAATTCTTCTGAATCCACCAACTATTTAGGTTGATTCTAGCTCACCCATTGTAAACTGTGTGGCTCATT